GAATTTGCACTAAGGTACACCAAACTTGGACTTAAGTGCACCTGCACCGAACTTGCACCCATTTAAGTGCACCTGCACCGAACTTGCACCCATTTAAGTGCACCTGCACCGAACTTGCACCAAAGTGCATCTGCATCAAATTTGCACTAAAGTACACCAAACTTGGACTTAAGTGCACCTGCACCGAACTTGCACCCATTTAAGTGCACCTGCACCGAACTTGCACCCATTTAAGTGCACCTGCACCGAACTTGCACCCATTTAAGTGCACCTGCACCGAACTTGCACCAAAGTGCATCTGCATCGAATTTGCACTAAGGTACACCAAACTTGGACTTAAGTGCACCTGCACCGAACTTGCACCCATTTAAGTGCACCTGCACCGAACTTGCACCAAAGTGCATCTGCATCGAATTTGCACTAAGGTACACCAAACTTGGACTTAAGTGCACCTGCACCGAACTTGCACCCATTTAAGTGCACCTGCACCGAACTTGCACCCATTTAAGTGCACCTGCACCGAACTTGCACCGAACTTGCACCAAAGTGCATCTGCATCAAATTTGCACTAAAGTACACCAAACTTGGACTTAAGTGCACCTGCACCGAACTTGCACCCATTTAAGTGCACCTGCACCGAACTTGCACCCATTTAAGTGCACCTGCACCGAACTTGCACCCATTTAAGTGCACCTGCACCGAACTTGCACCAAAGTGCATCTGCATCGAATTTGCACTAAGGTACACCAAACTTGGACTTAAGTGCACCTGCACCGAACTTGCACCCATTTAAGTGCACCTGCACCGAACTTGCACCAAAGTGCATCTGCATCGAATTTGCACTAAGGTACACCAAACTTGGACTTAAGTGCACCTGCACCGAACTTGCACCCATTTAAGTGCACCTGCACCGAACTTGCACCCATTTAAGTGCACCTGCACCGAACTTGCACCGAACTTGCACCAAAGTGCATCTGCATCAAATTTGCACTAAAGTACACCAAACTTGGACTTAAGTGCACCTGCACCGAACTTGCACCCATTTAAGTGCACCTGCACCGAACTTGCACCCATTTAAGTGCACCTGCACCGAACTTGCACCCATTTAAGTACACCTGCACCGAACTTGCACCCATTTAAGTGCACCTGCCCCGAACTTGCACCCATTTAAGTGCACCTGCACTAAGTGCACCTGCACCGAACTTGCACTAAGTGCACCTGCACCGAACTTGCACTAAGTGCACCTGCACGCCCGTCCACCACAGCTCTTCTCCACTTGTCCCCAACTTCGTCTTTTATATATCTTCCTCCTTTTTTCTCTCCCCCCCCCCCCCCCTCCTTCCCACTCAACTTCTAACTCTTCCACCAACTCTTCTCTAGCTCTGTCCCCGACTCCTCCCTCCCCCCCCCTCCTGCATCAACCAATCTTCCTTCCCCTGTCCCTTCTCGTCTCCCTTCATCTCAACATTATATCCTCTCCCTCCCCCATCTCTCTGGCCCCTTGAAGTCCAACACTAACCCTACATCCCAAAAAAAAGGATCATGATGGTAGGATAATAAAACACAGGTGGAGGAGGGACAGGACGATTTTTCCACTGTAGGAGATAGCTCGTGCATGGAGGGAAATCAGTGGGGAAATCTACAGACACGAAGGAAACCCTAATTAAACTACAGATGGAACAGAGCAGGAAGAAATACAACTTCAAGGCCATCAATTCCCCCCCCCCTCACCCCCCAGGTAATATAGCAATGGCAGGGACCTCTACAATAGGGGGGGGGGTGTAAACTTTGCTGAAATGCTGAGGAAGAGTCCAGAAGCCATGTCCACAGTCAAGGAAGTTGCAATGAAAGTAATTTCACAGGAGGCTAATGGAAAGGAAAAGAGCTGTAGTCGTGGTAGGCATTAAGGGTCAAGAAGGTTGCAGGTAGGAAGAGTGGAGAGCCAAGGACAAAGCTTAAGTGTCAGGGATACTGAGATACAAATGGAAGAGGCTGATCAATGCAGAGAAGGCTTTCCGGTTTGGACAATACAACAAAAATTATTGATAAATGGCATCATTCAAGTCGATTGATATGGTGGCCTCATTCAGGAATGAGGCCACCAAAGACGACATTCTAGTAAAAAGCAAACTACAAAATTCAGATACACAGAAAGGTATTCCTCCAGAGTGAGGGCAGGGTGATGGAAGGGAGCCAGGGAGCCATAGCATCCAATCCCAGAGGGGAGTGAGGAACCCAAATCAATTCAGGAACCCCAGAGAGAACCAACACCCCCTACCCCCGCCCCAGATCAAACCCTTCCCTTCCCCTACACAATGTCTGGTCTTCCTGCACCAAGCAAGCCAAGGCAAGATCTAAACCCTCCATCCACCACCCGACCCCTGGTAACTACCACCATAGGAGGTAGAGCATACCCAAGTAGCCCTGCCCATGGAACAGCTTACTACACCAGTGGTGAGCGAGATAATGGATATAGGAAAGCTAGCTTCAAGGTACTATACTCTAACATCAATGGTGTTACTAATAAAGTGGCCGATAGGGTGCAGGAAGAAAACCCAGATGTAATAAGGCTTGGAAACTAAATTTAGGCATCATAAATGCAGTGTTTCTGCAGGACTACTATATAGTAAGCAAAGTGAGAAAGGAGAAGAATAACCCTGCTGATACGTACTTGAATTTTGAAGAGATGGATATCCCAGCCTGTGAATGTTTCAGAAACTACATAAACTATGCTACTAATGTTTCAGGTCTACCCATTGTCAACCCTCCATTAAATGACAGAAGACCCAGGAGTTGAATAGAAACATGGCAACTATTTATACAAGAGCAACTTCAGTTGGCTGCAGGAATGGATCCAGACTTAAATCATGGGCGACTCCAACTACGGAATTAGACTGCAAATGGAGAACATGGAGGTGCAGACACATCGAGAGCTAAACTCTGACGTGGCAGCAAGAAACTGAGCCAACATGTCAAAGGACCCACAAGAACAAGAGGCGAACCACCTAGACCTGGTTCCTAGTAGACCGACATTCACCTCTAAGAAGCCGGACATAAGGGAAGTCAAATGTGAACCAACCCCCCCCCCCCCCCCCCCACCACCACCACACACACACTTTCCCACGGGAATCTGTGACCACAGCGTATTGACATTTGAGTATCTGGTGGAGGTAAGTATTTCATACCCAAGCAAAGGATCTGAACGGAAAAGTCCGATTTACCGAAGAGGAAAATATGAAGATATTTAGAAATGAAAATGAATACATGACCTTCCTTATTGGAATACCATGGGAAATAGACCCAAGTTAAGACTGGGCAAAGTGGTCCAGTGAATAAAGAAATATCCAAGCAACAAGAAAAAGTAACTTGGGGAAGAGTATAGTGACACCAGTGATGAGATTTCACCAGCGGAGTCCCATAGGGCCCTGTATTTGGAACCCATTCTGTTTCAGATATATGCAAGCGGTATTTTAGAGGTCATAGACTCCTGCCTCCGAGTGCCGATGAAAGAAAAAACTATGGGAATAATCAAGACTGATGAAGATTACAGACAACCTGGAGGAATGGTCTAGAAAATGGCCAAGTTTAATACTGGAAAGAAAGTTAAGTGAAGGGAGCAGGAGGCCGAACACTATGTACCATGCGAGATGAAATCCTGCAAGTCAAATAGATCTGGGGATTTATGTCTCACTAAACCTATCCCCAGGAGCCCACATCAAAATTACATCAGCGGGATCTGCTAGATTGGCCAACACAAGTGCTTTAAGAAACTTAAAATAGTCCTTCAGAACCTCTCATACCACTCGAGCATTGGTCTACCGTTAGTATGCAGCTCCAGCCTAGTCTATACATAGTTAAACACAGCCAAACACGAGATTAAGGTATGCCACCAGGCTAGTCCCAGAACAGAGATACGAGGAAAGGCTACGGGAGCTAAAGTTCTTGGAGAGCTAGATTAAAGAGATTATCACCTACAAAATTCTCAGGCATTTACAGTGGACTAAAACACTTAGCATGCGTTTACAAACTCGTGCTAAAACTTTCATGTTAAGATCATTTCTTCCATTTACATCGTTGTGCTTCTAACAAAAGCCGTCAGTAAGGTACTTGGTCTGGAAGCTTTAAGGACGTAATAGAACCCGTCCTCAAAGGCCAAAGTCCAAGCACCCGCCAAACCCCGTTTATGAATAAAGTAATTATCAAAGACGGCAACAAGTCTGGAAAGCCGTATAGCCGTTTATGAATGCAAAACGGTACACGATTAAGTCTTAACACTTCCGGAACAAGTACTTCGCTGACGACTTTTGAAATCTACGCTGTAAATACTTCACCCACGTACTACAAACATTCTCCCACAGGACCTAAACCACCTAACCAATGCCTTTATTATAATATGCACAGTATGCCAAGATATTATAGTTTATATTCGAAAATTTCCCCATTTGGAAATGACAGCATGTTAAAAATTTTATGAAGTGTGTCTGGGGTTGACCGCTGGGTGGAATGGATTTTGTCCGAGGACGGCTTGCATAATTAGTTGCTAGTCTTTGTAACTAATTTTTAACAGTCAAACTGGGGCTGCATGAAATAGACTTTAATCTTTCTTTAGGAGGACGGGCTGCATAGTGCGACAAATTAACTTTAGTCCCACTTCCATTTTTCTGTAACTGGCCGGAGCATTTGTGGCAGACATGATCACAGCCTTCACGAGCACTATTCAAGAGGCAAAACCAGGCACCGCAGAACTTACATAGTGGCTACCAAAAAAATCGTTGGTTTCTAGTAGAAGACAAAGTCTATACAAGTGAGAAAGCATGTTAAAACTTGCCAAGGCACGTTTCCTATTTTGACGAACTCTAAGTTTCAGCTACTCTTAACAAAAGTTCCAAGTAGCACGGGCTATGGCGAGCCCGTAGTGGACTGTCCTCTATCATTAACTAGTTTAACTACATTAACAAGTTTTGGTTTAATCTAAGATAAGTTTAATAAAATTATTTAGCTATGACTCAAGTTTACTCGATATTTTTTACAACAATGCAAGAGTTTTGTATTAAGATTAACAGTCATTTATTGAGGACGGTAGCCGTAGCCGCTGTTAACGTACAAGGTGTCCGTCACTGTCCGGTAGTTGGTGAAGGTGGTGCTCTTTGTGTTAATATTCGTGTGTACCACCGTCGCTGTATACGTCAGCCTGCAAGACAAAATATACGTCATTAACATGAGGTAATAATGTTACCAACACCCCCCCCCCACCCCCAAACCACACATACACTGTATTATATACTTACACCTGGGTGGCCGGAGTGGTGTAGGTGTACTGGCTGATTATGTAGGACGTGTGGCCGAGGGTCACGTAACTTAGTGACGTTTCCGTCACGATCCTGAAGTCAGACTTCACTTCCGTTAACGTTACTGACGTTGGCCGGACAGAGACAGAAGTCTGGAGAGCGACCCGGTCATCAACGGGAGTCTGTAGCACCTGTGTTGTAGAAAGGAAGGTTATAAGCGGGAAGATGATGAGTGTGTTATTATCTTTATATGGCACTTGTTATTGTAAACTTACCGAGCGTGTTCCGACGGTGACAGTCTGCACGCTGAAGGACGTTAAGGTTACTGCCACGCTGTTGAAGGCTTGGTCAGTGACAGTGACGCAACGGTCGATGGTGACAACTTGGGTGACAGTGGGGTGGAAGACATCATCCACTCGCCTGACCTGAGGGACGCCAACAGGTCTGACAACACTTCCAGAAGGTCCAGTGCTGCCCACTGCGACCCGCGGAACGTTCACCTGGTCCAACCTGCCACTGATGAATATAGTAGCTGGACCACTGCCGACGCCCTGGCCGAGAATTTGACCGGGACCACCAAAGGCACCCTGGCCGACATTAGGACCGGGACCACCGAAGACACCCTGGCCGACATTAGGACCGGGACCACCGAAGACACCCTGGCCGACATTAGGACCGGGACCACCGAAGACACCCTGGCCGACATTAGGACCGGGACCACCAAAGGCACCCTGGCCGACATTAGGACCGGGTGCTACATCACTACGAAAGTCCTGGGGAAAATAACGTCCATCAGCAAAACTTCCTCTGTGCTGGCCTGCGTCTGGCACGAGGACGCTGCCAGGGCCCTGGAGGATAAAGGCGTCTTTAGCTGCGATAGGTTGAGCGCTACTCGGCAGGCTTCCGATTGCTTCAATTAATCCAGGAAGTGGTCGACTAATATCCCTGGGAATACCGTCAAAAGCAGGTGAAGTACTAGAAGACTTCGGGACACCCAGGGTCTGCAAAGTTAAAATGTAAAAAACAATTACCATTTAAACAATAGTTATACTCAAGAGTTACTTTGATAAGCACAACTTATAGCGGCAGTATAATTTTTTTATAAGCAATTTACCAAAGAAAAAATATGTTTAGTTCACAACAGTGAAAAGTTAACTATGCCTGTAATGGTTGGTACTGGCTCGTCACGCCAGCCACGTAGAAGATGGAGGCCAGCAATATTTTAATAGAACACCGCATCTGCAATATGTAGACATGTTAAAGAACCGAATATACCCGTGCCGAACAAAAATATTCAGATTCTGAAGAAAACTTAAACTTGAGGCATTTTCAGTTGGGTTACATCTTAAAGATTACTTAAACTAGTGGGAGTAAAAAGGGGGGGGGGGTTAATTTTAATTACTATTAAATTAATAAGTGGATTATAGTCAATGATATGGCAGTCTTCAGAACCGAGTGGCAAAGCATTACAACTATAGTCTTTTGAAAGGCACGAGTACAGATGTTTGGTATAGTATCAGGGAAAGTAATGGTTCCCAGTCGCCGACTGTTTCAGATTTAACGTAGTTACTTTTTACCAGTATTTTCAGACATTCTTGCCGGTCTACTAATAACTGGGCAACTATTAGAGGCATTTTTTATACCCATTTATCAGTTATGATTACAGCTCTAAATATTTTTAAAGTCGCTAGTTTAAAAGCAATTACTAGGATGGTTCGGTCATAGTATTATAATAGAGCATGGTTATAAAAAAAAAAGTTGACCCGCGACATGAACACGAGAACACGGGCGTAGTCGAATGGAAGGTTGTGTCAATTTCAAAGGAATCAAGAATTTTCAGATTCTAGCGACTTCGAACATTTACATAGATTAAAAGGCAAGAGAAAAAAAGGGGGGGGGGCAAATATTTGTGCAGCTGGGCATACACATTAGCTTTGTATTTTATATCGACCTCTTTAGCTACAAAGAACCCCCCCACATTCAGAGCAATTCAAGAATTTACCAGAAGTTCTTTGCCGTTATCAGACGCTAGTCTTAGAGTACTACACAATTAAAAAGTCTTTAACTGGAACCGAGTCAAGTTCCACTCTTTGGACTAAGGAGGAGTAGAGATTAGACTATCAAAACCCTGTATTGCTCAGGGTTACTTTCCAGGGCTCATTTTTCCCCCAGGGTTGTGTAAAGACCCAGGTTTAAGTGGTTTTTTATAGGAGAAAAAAAAATTACCTAGATATTTCCATTAACATACCATAGTACCATCGCCGAATGTGTTCATTGTCAAGTGCACAATTTCATAAGAGTCCGGTTAAAAATTAACCCCCCGCCAATTAGTACTATTAAAAGTCAACAAACATTTGCTTTTCAAGCGTAAAGTCTTTATATGGATTAAAGTAAAGTGTTCTTAATTACTACAACAAGGTAACGGCCGCGGGAAGGACAAGTTTAAGTAATGATTAAAAACCATCTAGTATGGCATTTCAAGGCTGCACGTAGCACTTTGAATATGAAATTTAAGTCTTAGTCAACAAATATTACACGATAACCAACCAAAACTATCACAATCTTGAGCAAATTAGGGGCAAGATAACACTTAACTCTCTGATAAATTACCGAAATAACTACAACATTATACTATAAACTAATAACAAAGAAGTCAAGAACATAAACTTAATACCTTGCAAGACGAGGAGAGACGATGTTACTGGAGTGAAGGCGAGGAGGAGAGTGAGGAACTGGGCCCCACCTGCCCGCCTCAACACCTCCCTCACACCCTCCTCATGGTCGCTGCCTCTCATAATACACCCCTTCTTTACCCCAGTATTTACACACTCACTCGTAATCCTCTAATAACCTTTATTTCCCTAAAGTTAACGTCGTATTAGTAGTTAATATATTTATTGTGGCACAACAGAACCTAACTACCGGTGAGAACGAGGCAAAGTGACCATTATGGACCCGTAAGTGACACTCAGTGGCTTAGCACAGTCTTCCCACACACGCCCCAACACCCAGTGGGACAGGTGGTCCTTGGGTCGTCTAGGACAGTGTTTCCTCAACCGCAGATCTATGAACTAAATATTTCAAGGGTTGCATGGAACTAATATACTGTATGGCATTCTAACAAAACATGAACCCGTTATGAGTGTGTTGAACTCAATGTCTGCTGTTGTTATATACACGCAGTTTTAACTGAGATTAACAGTGCAGGGTGAGTGACATATGAATGTGTGTATTTGTTACACCAATGGCTGTCAGTTTTGCTGGCTATATCTATTTTGTTGTAGGACTCCACAAGTGTGGCTGTTGGTGGGGTCTACAGGTGTGACCGTGGCTGTTGGTAGGGTCTACAGGTGTGAACGTGGCTGTTGGTGGGGTCTACAGGTGTGAACGTGGCTGTTGGTGGGGTCTACATGTGTGAACGTGGCTGTTGGTGGGGTCTACATGTGTGAACGTGGCTGTTGGTGGGGTCTACATGTGTGAACGTGGCTGTTGGTGGGGTCTACATGTGTGAACGTGGCTGTTGGTGGGGTCTACATGTGTGAACGTGGCTGTTGGTAGGGTCTACATGTGTGAACGTGGCTGTTGGTGGGGTCTACATGTGTGAACGTGGCTGTTGGTGGGGTCTACATGTGTGAACGTGGCTGTTGGTGGGGTCTACATGTATGAACGAGGCTGTTGGTGGGGCCTACATGTGTGAACGTGACTGCTGGTGGGGTCTACAGATGTGAACGGTTTAGGGGGGGTGCTGAGCGTGCGAATGAACATCATCTCCGGGAGGTGGAAGGGTGTTCCAAGTGGGACCCGCATGTTGGCAATGCACCTGAAGTCCCCTATACTGTCCTCGGTCCTGCTTATGGGATTCTATGTCCGGGTGTTCTATGCTGACCAACCCTGGACTTGCTTCTGGTGCAAGTTGTCAGGGCACCAAGCTGTGGGTTGTGGTGCTGGCAGTGTCAGCCCTGTGAACTTCTTCCGGGAGGACGACTTCCCCTCGCTGCAGGGACTGGAGGACTCTGTGTGATGCCGACATGGCTGCCGTTTCTCACCCATTGGGTGGCCTGGTGGTGTCGCCAGTCTCTGCGGACCGCCCAGTTGGCGGTGTGATTGTTGCGTCCATGGAATGTGCAGTTTCGCCCCTACCGCCCGCTTCCCTGCCTCTTCCGCCCTGCCTGGCCCATCTCTAGATGCTGTGTCTTCGGTAGAGTGTGGTGGTGCATTGCCATGAGTTGAGCGTGTTCCTGTGGATGTTCCTGCTGTGGAATATTGTATGGTATCTCCGATGTTTGAGTCGCCTGCGGTGTTGCGTGACCGTGTCCAGTCTCCCGGTGTTGCTGCTATGGCACCTATGGAGGTGGATGATAGTCCTGGCGACGAGTACCCGGTGTCGAAGTGTTCCTGTCGGGCTCCCTGTTTGTGTCCCCAGAGGGGTGTCGCCTGGGCGGACGTGGTGGATGCCGAGTAGCTGTCTGCTGCCGAGGATGCTCTTGCGCAGCCTCCGGGTGGTGTTACCGTCGTTGTGGCGGGTGCCCCTGTTGCGGGGGTGGTGACTGGTATGGTGGCTTTGGTCCCTGCTCCTGTGCCCAAGTCTGAGTGTTGCCCTGCCCCCAATGCAGCTGGCACGGTGCCGCTGGCCCCCGTGTTGCGGCCCTCTGTGGTTCCGCCGGCGGTGCCTCTGCCTCTCAGCACGTAGATTTTTTGGCCCCCCTCTCTTTCAATCTCCAGGTCCTGAACAGTTTCCAGGTTCTGGATTCTGTTGTCTATGTTAACTTGCTTTCCCTGCTCCACTTCAGTCTGATGGCGAGAGTTTTTCTGTATTCCTGTTCTTTCACGTGTGTTCTATGTTCTTCTCATATCTGTCCTGGCATGGTTTCAACAAGTGTTTCCCTACCTCTTACCTCTTCTGTGTCCGATGCAAACTTCTCAGGCACCATCAGTCCACTCTGACTTCTGAACCTACCCAAATCCTAACCATTCAGGCCGATATCAGCTCCCTCCCTTGGACTTCTCTTCATTGAAGATGGACATTCCATGATTGTATAACTGCTCCCAGCTTCTGACCTGAAATGTGAGCCTGATCCCTCCACCTCTTTGTCCCTAAAGAGTAATAAAGTCTGTTTTTTACCAGCCTGACCTCATTATCTCACTGCTGTTTCTGTCCTTGAACCCCTTGTTGTCGTACACAAAAAAATGGCAGTTTATCTCCCTGCCTGTCCATTAGTGTTCTCTGCCTTGCCCTTTACGGCCACTTCTTTACCTCTGCCCCCGAGCCCTATTTCTCCGAATTCCATTCTTACCCAACTTTATTTTTGTCTATATATTTTTCACCATTTCAATAGAATACATAGTTTTTATGCTAATTTTAATTCCAGCAGCATTAAGATTTCAGGTAAGGCCTTGTTAGCTTTTGAAAATGAGTTTTGAGGCTGGGTACACGAGAAATAAACTAGATGTGGTTAAATATTTTTTTTGCAGGTATGTTCATTTGGTAGTCTATTATATTATAGGTTGAAATTAAAATTTTGCTAAGAGAAATCAGCCCATAGGGCATGGGAAAATGCATCCTAGAGGGAAAACTCCAGTTGCAACAAATTGAAATTGGTCCCTGTTTGGATTGAAATTGGTCCCTGGTCCCAAATTGGGACCAATTTGGGACCAATTGGTTCACTGATTTGAGGTTTTACTATAAAATCATTCTATATCTTACATATATCTAAGTAAAACCAATCAATCTAAATGTCTCCTCAAAGCATTTTCTTGCACCATCTCAAACTGCATAAGGTAAATGACACACAATTGTTATGATAAAAAGACTTATGTATTAATGCATAATATATACAAACTATATTTGGTAGACACATCAGTATGTACAAATAAATTAATTATTATACATAATATTAATGAATTCAAATTCTAGATACACATTTTACAAACCATTGACGAACATAAAGGTAAAGAGAGTCGAGGGCAGAACACTGGACATTCCTCTTGACTATATGAAAACCTAGATTAGTGGCTGACCCTGAGAGGGGGGATGCTGTCAGGGTAAGCCCCACTGGGTGCTACACCACCCCTGCACACGCAATCACTCTCGTGTGTCCGCAGAGGCGGGGGAGGATGTACCAAGGTCACTTGAGCATCTTGCAAGATAAGAGGACAAATGAGAAGTAGAGTAATATCTGCTGTATCACACTAAATTTTCCAGAATACAGTATCTGATTACATATTTGTAAATATCAATCAATTACATGTAGTAAAATGAGATCTTGGCAAGACTTGCAGACAAAATGTACTGACAAATGTATTCGTTTCTAAATACATTATATCTTTTATATAGTTATACAGTACTTGACTAAGAAAAAAATAGCTGATGTTTTGTAGAATTAAGACAATAGAAAATACTACAATAGGCAAAAATTATTCTAGATGACCCAAGGACAGTGGTGTAATGCAGTGGGGGAATACTGCAATGTCCCAATGCTCCTGGGATGCATGTGATCAGTGCAGCCCTCAAAATGCTTTGGGGGAGAACACTTTGAGGAATTCACCAAGCCAGAAGGAAGAGGGAAACATAAGTTGCCAAGTTTCATTTAAAGTACTCCAGAATGAACAGCCCTCAACAAGAGTCAAACACTAGACAGTAGGACAAGTTACACACAAACAGTTATGGGTGGTCAGATGCAATACTTCCAGGTCTCTGGTTACTGGACAAAAAGCTCGAACAGTCCAGAATCCAAAACTTCCAAACTGATTCGGACAAATTTTGTTCCCTAGTCTCTCCCGCACCATCGTCACTAGAGAAAAAGCCATAGACTTCACATGTACATAAACACTTACTACGGGAAACCGGCTTGGCATATACACACCGAGCAGCAACAAGGATACACCAACAACCCTACCTATTGAGGAACCCGTGTCTTAGTTAAGGACTCAAGGGAGGAAAATGGAAACACACAATTACATTAAAAAAATAAAAAAAATTTATTCTGGACCCTAGAAAATGCCAATTTCCTTTATAAAAAAAATCACAAACCCATAAATGCAATCGGAACATAAACCCACTGTAAAATGGCAATATCAATGTTCTGAACTAGGCTCCGATAGAGGGGTCTCGGATACACCGTTTCCTAACCATTTTGTCATGAGCTAAAATATGCAGAGATCTACATGATACAGCAGTTCAGCTTTTAAAAATTAGCAGGTGTGCTAATTGTAATCTTAGGATAGGTATCAAGAAGATCTACTCTATTCACAACATATACACTAGAAAACAAATCTTACTGGCATCTAACAAACTTTTAAAAGATAAATCTGTTTTATATAAAATAAAAATTCTATAGATTTAATATAAAACAAAGGGGCTAATGAGAATTGGATGAGACAGAATTGCAATAACTAACAGAGCATCAATGGTAATGATGAAAATGAAAGATGAAGAGGCTTAGCAATGCAAAAAGAACCACGGAGGGGAGGAGAAAAGGGGGCTGGGGCAAACTTCTGCTGACCATAGGAATTAAAACAAAAAAATAGTTGGTTTATAGTTATAAAATATTGTGTGGCAAGAGATACATTAGTGTAGTTACAGCAGTAAAAAAATAGGGATAATACAGCCAAAGTAAACAATAGTAGTGAGAAGTCATGATCATTACAAAATAAGTATGGTTCTGATAAACAACAGGACTACAGAAAGTATTGTAAGTTGTATGAAGACAGTGGACACGACAATGAAAGGAAAAGGACTCGGCAAGATTTTCTATTTAAACAAACCGGCAGTTGAATTTACAAGATGATAATAAGGAAAATGGTTAGCAAAGTCAAGAAGCAGTGTTTAAAGAGCTGAGACAATGGATTAGAGAAAGGGATAACCTGTGACCTGTATATGCAATTGCAATGCAGGAGTAAACATTGAGTTGCAAATATAATGTAATAATACTTGGATGAAATCCTCAGAACAGCTTCTCAATGACTGCCTTCATGTAAGAACACTGTTCAGCAGTCCTCATCGAACAGCACATGATGCATATGAAAACATTAAGATAGTAGAGCGTACAAGTACAGTACAGACAAAACTTGGTAACTCCAACTGCTGCTCACCAGCAACCAATGACAAATTAATGTAGGGTGATCTAAAATAAATCTTTGCATGGAAAAAGTAATTACTGTATATGGAATGAATCAAGATGAAATTACCAAGATTAGACTGTATTACAAATATTACAATAACACAGCATAAACTGGACTTTGAAGAGTGCATAAATAGTTTCAGTAGCCTTTTAAGGCTAATTTCATCATTGATGCTTATCATAATGACTTGAATTCAAAATCTATCACTTGTTTAACATATTGCATACACAAATGATGAAATGGAACAAAACAAAGTACTGAAACAGCATCAGGAGAATGCTTAATTAGGGTGCTGTGCATTTATATTAAAATACAATTGACACGTAATTTTCTTTATATCGAGATATAAATAGATGTTTGGATGTAGAACATAGCTTTTAGTCAACTCAATTATGCTCATAAAATTAACAAGCCAATTGAGCCGACAACTGACAAAACATTGATCATTAAGAGTTTTGTGACCTCCCAATGACCTCACATCTCTTGACAGTATACTTTGATCCATCACCAACAGCCTCAATTATATCGGTATGCTTACAGGAGAACTGTCCCTATAACAAGTGATTGGTCACACTGCTGCCCACATTTAGGCTCTAACAAACCAAAGATCCTCCAAAATGATTAGCCATTTAAGCTGTAGTAGTTCTCAATGTTTTTGTTTATATCTCCATTACCCAGAAATATAAGAGGCTAATCCAAGAAATAATGAGCTTTCCCTCTCAAATTCCTGTGCTGTCCATCCTTTGTCAGTTGGAGAAAGCTCCTTCGTCAACATACAAGATCTGACTAGCAATCATGAACTTCTTTTAAGTTTCAGCAAAAGCACATTCAGACAAATTCTGAAACAAGTTGTGTAGCACTCGTGCATTAACAACACAACATTCTCCAAAACATTACTTGATCATTTGCATGAGGCTCGTCTCAGAATCGGCTCTACTCTCTACTTCACAACATAAATAGTTAACCTCGTAGAAGCTCTGCATGTCCACAAATGCTTTTCAAAAGATGTACTAATATATCATTATCTACGGCAGGAAACTCCCTAGTGTACATTGGCTGACTAGAAAATGTTGGATTTTATTAAACTAGTTTAAAATAATTTTAATTTGAAAACAGTTACTCAGGTTCTAAAATGTATTATGACACACTAAATTTGCAAACTCCAAAACTTGTAATACATCAACAATGAGCTTATTAAGATTCATGACAACATCCCGATGCTCTCACTAGCACAATTATATATAGAATCTTTATTGACAAGAATATTAACCACCCATCAAGCAAGCATGAACAAAGCAAGAACAAAGTCAATACATCTAATAAGTTCAATGTATGGTGTGTGACAGCTTTTCAAGTGCATACCAACACCAGTGTGCCTAGAAAATACATTTTTCTGTAAATTGTCTTTCTCTTCTGCCTCACCTTGACTGCTTCTCACTGCTTAGAAATTACCGTTACATGCAAAATATATCTATGTGAAGCGTCTAATATTAAATATCTTTAAAAGCAACAAATTCAAACTCGTTTAAATTGTACAAATTTACGTGCTCAAAACCATCAGATACCCGATTTGGGATTTTAACCTTCATAATTTTTTAGTCTATTTTGTGCTCAATTAACTTTTCTTGTGAAATGTCAAAAACAATCATAAATGCTCGTATCCATGATGTGAGTCTCGTACTATTCTTTGCCAGAGCTTATGGTGACATACATGCAATAACTACTTATGACAATAACCAATGCATTTCTTGAGCATATTAAATAATGAAGATAAAAACCAGTGGAGGCCCACCCTCCATACATCACAAAATGTACGCTGTATACTCTTTAGAACACCGTGCTGTACAACCTGCAGAGTTGTAAGCTGTACCGACATGTGTTATAGCACTGTTAAGCTGTACAACCTGCAGAGTTGTAAGCTGTATGTCCTGTAGCACTGATAAGCTTATTACTTGCAGAGTTACAAGCTATATAGCCTGCAGAATCCCAGAATTCCCAAGAATTCCCAGAATTCCCAAGCTGTACAATCTGTGGAACTTAAAGCAGAATGACGTAACGAAGTGAAAGCCAAACAGCCTGCAGAGCCATATACCTGGAGAGGGCTTCTGGAGTTTTTTCCTACTCCCCGAGCCCGGCCTGGAGCCAGGCTCGACTGGCCCCATATATATATGCCATAACCCCATACATTTCCAAGCTTAATACCCAGCTATACAACCCGCACAGACGCAAGCTACACAACTCTCACAGATTCATAATGTAGAAAACTGCCACAGTGTGCCCCGCACAATCTGCAGAATCGCTAGCTATTATCATTCTCGTTGTTTTATGTTATAATGACCTGCAGAGTTGTAAATTAGTCGAGTCTGCACCTATATAAGCTAGTAAGCTTGCACAACCTTAAGCTTTACCACCTGCAAATTACTTCAATCTACTTAAGGTCTGTGCATTAAATATTCTTACGTTTTGAAGAGCAAAGGTAATCTTAGAATAAATTTGTTGATGTACCAATGCCCCTTAGCTGACCCCAAATAAAGTTAACTATAACTTTATAAAGATTTTATTGCTAAAAATTATAATTAATAATTATTTATCATTTAATTTTTTTAAAGACGCTCATTTCATGGTTCTCAAATAAGTGAAGTGTAATAGGCAATGACAAAATATTACACCGTTTGCTTATGGATAACCAATCATCCAGTTAACAAATATCAGGAAATAAAAGCAATGTTCCAATGCAAATATACAAGAAATATTAAATGACAGTAATTAATGAAGAAGTGACCTAGCTGTTTGAATGACTTAGATTACTCATATAGATGAACATTTAAATTGTACAAGTACTTCCCAAAACAATGCGACAGTTCTCGTTAATCCAACACCACCACCCCTAGAACACACTCTCGGCTGACCGTGAGAGATGGATAGGGTGAGAGGGTGATCGATGCAGTCGTTTCTTCGGCAGCTTGTTTAAGTTGGCTTGCATGGTGGAAAACTCTGGTCTTTCATCTGGCCGGTAACTCCAACAAGCCATTAAAATGTCCTGTGGGCAATGAAGTTCCTTATATTACCGCTAAAACTCCAAGGCCCCAAAACAACACAAAACACATTCATTTTTTTTTTCCTGGGTAGTAAATGTTATTTTCAGATTGCTTATTCAGATGTTACACTGTATTCAGAAAGATTTGTACATTTCTTGTTGGGTTAGGTAAATAATTTACTCTAAATTTATGTAAACTAAGATAAAATAATAATTATTTCATATCATGTAATACAGTATCTTCAATTATATACTGTATACACTAGATTTAGATGCTACATTTATTAGCAATTAAAAAATCATTACAGTTGTCAAATTCTAAATCAGAAACTTTGTTCACAATAACTTGTACAAATCATTACAATAATGATGGGAATAAACAGGTGTACAACAGTCTAAATCAAGCTTGTGCCTCCAAAGTAGTGTAGGAAATGATTACTATTCCCCTCAAATTTTGTTTTGACCTTTGCCTAAGACGTCTTAGGGAAGACGGCTTGATGGTGCCTGAAGGCTGCAGACTTGTGAAGCTGTCGCAACTGTAGAGGAGTGAGCAGCATTCAAGTACTGTACCCTCAAGACGTTTTCCCTACGCTGTCTTAAGCAAAAGTCAAAGCAAAGTTTGAGGGGGGAATACTAGCCATTTTCTATACTTTGGAACCATGAGTCATCAGAAAATAATACTTACTACCAAAGAACAATTTTTTTTTAGGGTGTATAATCAATAAAATAGAGGTTTTAAATTATTTATGAATCACAACGAATATTTCATTCTCTTAACTCTCATGATTCACTAATCTTTCACTCTCTTATCTTTTGATGATGTTATTTATCACTCTTATCCTCTCCTCCAAACACCATACATACTCCTCAGATTGTATATATTTACTACTCTGCATTTCGTCCTGTTGCAATACCAGTACATTACATTCAGGGGAAACAGAAAAGTTGTATGGACAATTCTAGCACACCAATTCCATAGATTCATTACTAGGAAAGGAATAGGAAAATGTACAAAATAAGTTTATATAATGAGACTAAGTATTGGGCTCATGAGAGGTATATCTGCCAGAGACAATGCAAGTTCCTATGTAGGATGACGCAAAGAACATACCAGATAGTGTTGTATATAATATCTGGATAAAATGCTGAATCAGAACGAGATATTTGGCTTACCTTGACATCGCGTGAAGCTTGGAGGTTGGCTAATGAAGGCTTCATGCCTCGTCCAACTTGCCAGATGATGGCCTCTGGTGGCAACCCTTTATGAGGCCACTCTCCACACAGCAACTCATACCACACAGTCCTGTTGACCAAACACTTCTTCAATAACAACGCAAACAAGGCAAATACGATTACAAAACTATTATGACAGTGGTAGACAAACAAAAGTAACACACACAATAACAGGATGTTCTCGGCAAGTAATTTCCATTTTATTTATGAGCCCTCCATCAAGCTATGAATGTTTCCAGATTCCCTTTTGAGTGCTGTATAGGTTGAACCAAAGAGGCTAAGCTCACCCCCCAGCAAGAACAAATAGTTGTGTGTAAAAACACGTAAATAATACATGCACACACTACATACACAACAATGTTCTCCGATTTATCTTACCCGAAGCCATAGACATCAGAGTAGGTGGTGAATGGGAGGCCATCATCTTGCTTCTGAACTACTCTTAAGTTCCTCATTACCTCTGGAGACAAGTAGCACAACCAGCCTGGAGGAATGCTTAGCCAGTTGCCACGCCTAAAAGATAACAATTGTTCATACAAACATGATTTTCACCGATACAATAATCTCTCTCAAAAAAATATCTCCAGACAACAACAGCAACCACAAAAAAATGCAACAAAATAAATCTTCTCTAAGGTCTCATTGACACTTGTCACATCTCATGTTCCTTGCAATTCATTCTCTTATACGCACATTATTAAATGAAGGGAAAATAACACTGCAAAATTATGTTATAATCTAATGAGTAAGAATGCAGGTTTGTCTCCAACTAATACAACTCACAGTAGGAAAATACTGTGTAATGTCCTATCAAGGCCTCAAAAAGTAAAAACATGGGTATGATATAGCTAATTCCTCACACACATGCTTCCTCCACACACACACACACACACACACACACACACACACACACACACACACACACACACACACACACATACAAGGCTAGTATGATGTATCACATTATTGTGATTTCTGTGTGTGGTGTAGTGCAAGACTAGTAAAATCCTATCATACCATACCTTGTGGAGATGTGGCAACAAGGTGTGAAGTTGCACTGTTCTTTATTGTATGTCGGAAAATTTTAATACACAATGACATAAATATAAGCAATTGTTTAATACAAAATATAGGATAAAATCATTTTTTGGAAATAATTTATTTTTGGTGCACCATGGGGGTATGATTTTTATGAAGCACAGTGCAGTGGTTAAAGTGAAGGCTTAAATAGTGGATGTGGCTTAGAATGAAGGTCCAAGAATCTCTGCACAAATATGTCCAAGTCTTACCCTGCATCTTATTTCACACACAAATGCTGTACGTCTAAATTCCTGAACCAAAATACCCTCAACAAAACAAACTTATGTCTGAAACACACACCAGTATTTAACAATGATTTTTAATTAATTTCAGGTAAACATTTACGAACCGGTAGCAACTGCACTAACCTTGAGTCATGGCAAAGTCTTGTAACATTAAACAGCCCAAAGTCAGTAATGACAACCTTGCCACTTTCTAGAAATATGTTTTTTGTCTTTAGGTCCTTGTGAACTATTCCTCGGGCATGAAGGTAGCCCATACCCTGTTAACAGAAACCACAGTTTGACATTAAATTACACTCTGTAAAAAACAACGTATCATTAAATCACACGATTTACAGAAACAATTGAACCCGTTAACAGGAACGATAGCATCAATAATCAATACTGTACCATCAGTACAATATTAAGATGAGTCACAATAACGTGGCTGAAGATATGATGACCAAATCACACACCAGAAGATGAGGAGACAACGTTTTGGTCCGTCCTGGACCATTATCCAAACGATTGTCGACTTGATAATCGATAGTGGTCCAGGATGGACCGAAACGTCATCAACTCTCCATCTTGTGATGTGTGGTTTGGTCATCAATACAATATCAATACCTGTGAAATCTGTTGAGCAATCATGATGGTTTTAGACATATTGAACTTGTCTTTCTGGACATGGATGTGTGTGTAAAGTGTTCTGCCCTTACACAGGCTAGTTACTATTGCCAGTCGAGGCGGCTTCATGCACGCTCCCATGAACAATACCAAGTTCTCATGGCGAGTCTTGCGAAAAGTGCTTACCTGGAAGAAACAAAAAAATGCTTATAAATACTCGGTAAGAAATTACAAATACTGTATTCCATGTTTTTATTATATTTCTTACATCTGCTTTTTAATATACACAGTGTACCATGAAACTTGAAAATTTCTCCTAACTGAATATTGGAAAAGTAATAAAAAAAACCTCCTAAACAATTATAACTATACATATACATCTTGCAAAGTAATTTCACTCAATAATCCAGTCATTTAAGGGCCCAGAGTCAATTCAGTCATTTGTCCTATATTTTGTACAAAATAAAATATATATATACTGTATACATATTACCATTTTAAAGCCTAGATTTTGGGCTAGATTTTGAGCTATATTTGAAAGAAAATGGTCAACTCATAGTATTCTTTTTTTCTATATTCTTTATTGCAAGACAATCTTGCAATAAAGCAGTACATTTTGCCTCCTAGTATATTTTGTATTTATTTGCTATAACATCATAAAACATAACCAGATTAACTAAATGCAAGTGATTGGAAAGTACTTACTCCGTAATTTATATATTACTTTAATATATATTAAGCATTGGTGATGCTGCCTTTTTGGTGAGAAAATTCAAACCTAAAAACACTAACTATCTTTTTAGGTTTCCATTTCAGTGTTTTAATTTTCATTGAATTTTGATGAACTTTTCACACACAACTCAATTCAGCAGACTTTACATTTGAGTTCAAGATTTTTCTAAAATTTGTTTTAAGATAGAAATTTCAGAGTTAAAAAAATATCTGAATGATTTTTCTTTTCATGAATGATTCAGAATTCATGATTTTTGTATTATGAAGAATCACTAAAAATTTCCTCCAACAACCATAGAACTGCATCAGGTCTTTCCAATGATATCAAAATATGACTGCAGTAGAACTTGCAAATCAAATAAATTAAAAAAAAAAAAAAAGTGTCATTTTTATTTTGTTATTCAAGTTTAATTTTTAAAACTAGTTTTTAATACCCATGCGTATGCTTTAGGGCCAAATATCAAAGAAATGTAAATCTGAAAACATAGTTCTAGAGCAAAGTTGACTCGGGCATCTTAAACCTAAACAAAATACTTATACTGTTGAAATCCATAGTATTAATAAATCCTATTACTCACTTCAGCTTTAAATGCCTCTAGTGTTTTTTCATCATTCACATAGTCCATGCGAAGCTCTTTAATGGCCACGTGCCCATGCCAGTTTCCCGAATATACAATACCAAATCGACCTCGTCCAATAACTTCTCCTCGATCAAGTTCATCATAGGGAATGTCCCATTCTCGAAGTGACTGAGACACACTGCTGACGCTATTCTGTCGAGTACACCGAGGATCTGCATTTTCTCCGTCGGAAACAGTAGAATCTTGCGAATCAACTCGACCTGCTATTGTGCGTTCTGAATCATCAGTGCCCGTACTACCGGACCTAGACAAAAAAATAAAAATTTAAACTCACTTATAGCAAAGGTAGATAGAATACAAGATAAATGTGAAAACACTACACACATGAAGTTTTTCTTTTAAAAAACATTCATTACTGTATATGTAAATAATAATAACATTAATATATAAAAATCTCAAAAATAATTATTGGTAGACCATTTACCAAGTAGTATTAACAGGATACTGTCATCATTAAACAACAATCTTTGAGTGAACACAAAAAGCAACTTTGAGCAAAAAACAGTTTTTGAAAGGGTTTAATAAACAGGTCTTCCATACAATATGAGAAGAGACGACCTTGACGAGCTAACCACAGTTTAATGGTTTGGTCGGGACCAAAGATCCAAAGCTCAACCCCGCAAGCACAACTAGGCGAGTACAGATGAGAGGGGCTACGGATATGTAAACAATACTGCAATTCACAAAGCTTTAACTTCCCCAGCTTTACCAGTAATATTCTGACTGATGAAAAAAATATGACCCCACCAGTTCCAGCGAGTGTGTATTGTATCAAACGATACGAGAGCACTGCAAACCTGAAAAGGCATTCTCTCTCTCTCATTACCCAAATGGGGAGGTAGCACATGCTCATATCTGGTACATCACCGTCCGGTGTCAGGAAGTGCAGAGCCTGCCATGGCAATCACACAGGTGATACCTGGTTGATACCTGGTTGATGGGGTTCTGGAAGTTCTTCTACTCCCCAAGCCCAGCCCGAGGCCAGGCTTGACTTGCGAGGGTTTGGTCCACTAGGCTGTTGCTTGGAGCGGCCCACAGGCCCACATACCCACCACAGCCAGGTTGGTCCGGCACTCCTTGGAGGAAACAATCTAGTTTCCTCCTGAAGATGTCCACGGTTGTGTCATGATGGACTCTCTTAAGGCTTTAGCTCATGAAAATACTGTATATTTCTGACTAGCATTTTAGTTTCGATACTTTCTCCAGTGAATTCCAAGCATCCTAAATGACTCCAGGAATGTTTGGAAATGATCCCGTGGCACAAACGCTGCATGACAATTTTCCTTGATTGCGCATGATCCTTAACACAACAAGCTCAAATCTATTTTTAAATATGTTTCACTCCTTTAAACTGGATGCCAAAACCTCTTACTGGTCTCAGTAGAACATTAGTTTCTTGAAGTTTGTAACAATAGTTTGTTGAAGTAAAGGGTATACAAAAATGTAAATAATTGAGATTAAGGTTATAATTATTTTAGACGAGAATGTGCAATGAAAAACTGCATAAATTCCTTATAAGAAGAATCTTTAAACCGAGACCAGATTAACTAAATACACATACAGTATATAGAGTACTCAGCATTTGACGATCATCCAACCCAACCCACCAAACTCCCACCACACAGACAAATTTTCAGTTTTCTGCACATACCCTGAAGTTTGTGACACGGTGCGATCAGAATCATGAGACTGCCGAGAGTCAATGACATCACTTTGCGTGGAAGATGCGGAAAGTGGAGCCTTGGGAAGAGTTCTGGCCGTAATGTGTGTCAGAGGCCGCATTTCTAAAGGAATGTCTCCAGTATCCTCATTCACATCTGCCAAGAAGGTAATACACATGGCAAATTAAGTATCACCCAGAAGTATTATCTACAACTAGGTTCAAATTTAAAAATATAAACATTTTACATGAAACTATACATTATACCAATATGTACAATATATCTATTACAGTAGGTATTGTATGTACTATATCTTCTACTTTAAAAATATTCAGTAACATCTGCCTAAATGCTCAGCATCCCAACATATGTTTAGCTATAAATAAGTTTAACACTTCAATAATGTCTAAATAATGTTTCTGGGATTATGATTCATAAAAAAATATATATTTCTAGGTGAGGATCCTTCAGCAGTTCCCAGAGCCTAAATGCTTATTCTGAAAAGCCTTAGAAAATTGCACTAAACCTACTGAAAAAGAAGGGGATGGAGGGGGAGTGAGATTTTGTAGACTTCATCCCATGGCTCTCTCTCTCTCTCTCTCAGCCAGGGAGGAAGATTCAAGACTTCTGGGGGTCTTGTCTGGGAAGATTCCAGACAATCTTCAAGTCTTGTCTCATTTGTTCTTCTGGGAGAGTTACTTGGTCTTTCTTCCCCCTCTGTTCTTTGCCAAAGTCATAACCTTGTGTGTGTTCAGGATTCATTCTCATTTGGTTACCATGGGGCCTGGCCAATGACTCTCTAGCATCAGGGCTTCAGGGGTTCATGGGGTTTCATTTTCCAAAATGGGTTTGATTTTTTTCCCTTCATTTTGCTTCTGGACTGAGTCCGAGTTTCCCAAGGCAGGCAAGAAAGTATGTGTGTGTGGGGGGGGGGGGGTGTTATAAGTGCATGGATGTGATAGCCCTGGTTTTGGATTGCCTTTTTCCCATTACGTTGCACCTTCCTAAAGCTTGACAGGACAAGCACTAGCAATGGGGAGTTACTTAGTGGGCCTTTCAGAATGATTGAGCAAAACAATGGTGTGATAATCTATTCAATTAGACTTGCTAGCAAGTGTTCTTGAAATGTGTAAAACACATTTCATTATATAAATTTCTCAAAGTACACACTGCTGAATAACATTATGGCAAAAAAAAAACGAAAAGAACCACCATTCACAGACTTGGAAATAATTACGTTGTTATATTCGCGGCAACTCCCGCCCCACGATGTCACTGGGGCAAGTTCCACGGGGCCCATTCTATGCCCATGAATTGCTCAACGTCCCTGCTCCATCACAGCCCAAGTAATTCACATACAATATCTTGCAATTTTTTCCCCCCATGATCAAGGAATTCATTTGAATATTAGAAAAAAATTGGGGGAATAATTTCTCACATGTAACAGGTGCACAGTACCAGGGTTAAAAGCAACAATGACAGACAACGTATACATGGACTTGCCTCCTTGTTTAGATTTTTAAATGCTGTTCTTATGTTCAACTTCTCATATGCCCCATTGTATCTTGTATCTTGTTTAAATGCGCTTCTTGTGTTAGTGTTGGGATTACACCCACTCTCAGTCCTTTACTCTTATTGTTTCCTTGAGTTCATTTTACCCTTATGGTCTTGTGTGGGTGGAGTAGAGAGGTGGGGCCAGGAGATACGAGTGGAGTAGAAAGATGGGGGGCGGGAGGGTGTGGGTAGAGTAGAGAGGTGGGAGCTGGAGGGTATGGGTGGAGTAAAGAGGTGGGGGCCGGGGTGTGTGTGTGTGTGTGTGTGTGTGGAGTAGAGAGGCGGGGGCTAGAGTGTGGGTTACGTACACAGGTGGGGAAGAAAAATATGGGTGAAGCAAGTTGTTGGGTGTGAAAAGACATAGGCAAGGCTAGGCTTGCTATGAGCTCACCATAGCCTATGCTACTTGGAACTTTTTGTTCCAAGTAGCAAATCTTAAACAACAACAACAGCTAGGCTTGACAAGTGTTGGGTGAGTAGAACAATCTGCCAAATAGTATCAGTGAAGCAAATTACCTTGGAAACTTTTAGATATATTGGAACTGATGCATGCATGAAAATGTTAAGACATACACAAGACCTGCCTCACATGGATCAATAGGCCTACTGGTGTCGCTTTGTCCTAAAGAAGTGAACATACCTTTACCAAAATTCTATCAGAATGAACACAAATTTTATACTTCACACCGTCATGACATTCAAAGTAACTGACTACCTTAACATACATGTAAAGTATTTAAATTAAACTCTTGCATCTACAGTTTTAGTTTATTACATGATCTAGCCATATTAATTTACTGAATAAATCTCTCCTATGTTATCTTACTTAATCACAATTTAAAAGTTTTAAAGTCTCGGTTATCTAAGTTGTTCATGATTTTTTCCCAAAATTAGTTTATAAGCTTTTTATTAAACATCAGAACATACTGCAATTTCCAAATTCAACTACTGTAATGAATTAATTTTTTAGAGAGTTTTCATACCGAAATCAATAATTTCAGTGTGAAATTTATACTTTATATTTAAGCACTTAATTGAATTAGAATGGATTTCAAACTAACCAAACCATGAACAAATTGAAACAGGTATAGAACTTGACTTATGCCTGAAGCATCGGCCTCATCACTTACCTGGAAAGTGGAATCCTCGGGTAACTGAGGAAATAGCATTAATGAGCATCCAAGTATTGACATTGTGTTACTGGTTACAAGGTTATAAACAATCACAAATTATCACATGCTATTACTTTAATACTCAAATTGTTCATGGTCTATACAAGACTTAAATAAACCACCCATACAACACACCCACTAAACCATCCACAATACTGCACACACCTAATGTCATCCATTAATATGTTACACATTAAATGCTTCATACACTTCATTACCATAATAGACTAAATCATTCATACATTACACTATGTACTGCACTACATTAACTCCTTAAACATTGGCAAATCATCATATGATGCATTTTGGAACAGTGATTCTACATTTTTATCTGTACACACACACACACACACTCCTTCCAAACTCCCAAGCCATTCTTCCATCCATCCATCTAGAAACAATAACATTTATAATGTAAAGCAATTTTATGTAGTTTTTTTATGCCACAGAAGCCTTGTACCTGTAGGATGAGCCACATTTGATCTCCTGATACCTGGAGCATACCTGGAGAGGGGTCTGAGAGTTCTACTCACCGAGCCCAGCCTGATAGTTCCCATCCCCCTACTATCTTACACACACACAGTTAAAACATTCAAACATGGCACCTATTAAAAAATTCAAACATTGCTCCTATTAAAGCATCCAAACATTGCACATATTAAAGCATCCAAAGAGTGAATGCCTATTTAAAACCAATTCACACATTAACACACACTTCTCCCAGCAACCCTTGATATACAACTGTTACAACATGCTCAATACAATCATTCAGCTAATCTTAAAAACAAAGCAATGAGTGAATTGTTATAAGCTCCATTTTCTCAGCAGATCACTCGGCTGCTCCCAAAAGTAAGTTACCCCAAATTACTTGAATGTGAACGTCCAGCCAGGCCAAGCTAAACAGCATACCGTATCCCCACAAGGACTTTTAAATTGTTCCTACAAAATCATATATGTGCTGGAGAGACACTGGAGAAAATACACAAAACTGCCCAGTGGTTGGGTAAAGCCTGGCTACCTCTACTGTCCACCAGATGACAGCAAAATATATATATATATATCAATGGGCTCACAGACCCCAATCAGCCCACACACTTCCCAACACAAGAACTAACTCAAAGCACAAGTGGAAATGAACAGAAAGGGAGAGAACGGGAGCAGCTAAATGATCTATTCTAGCATACAGCAAACAAACTTGTTTCCATACACTTGATGGATGAATCACCATGAATGACTGTTTTGTGAAGCAAGCTTCCCAGCTTATTGCAGTGAAAGGGTTAAAGAGGCAGGTTCCAAGATGGAGAAAGGTATTAAAAAAAAAGGTTTATTAAAGACAAAGATGAATGTGTAACTAAAATGAATGAATTGCTTCCTCAGCTGGCAACAAAAAGCCCTATATGAAAACACAAGACAATATAAGCACGCTGGGGGGTAGAAATAGCCTAAGCTACTCTATCCCTTTGAGATGTATTTCTTGCTTATCTCAATAAACATACTTGAACTTGAATATAAGCACGGACTAAGGAAGAAAATTCATAAGTTGTGTAGAACTATGAAAAAAAACTAAATATGGAGAACCCTTCCTCTTATGTTAGTGAATATATCACCTTTTTTTTCACTCAAGGTAGAATTTCTGAAGTGCTTTGTTTATGTAAAACAAAATGTGTTTCGAGTGAAATTGCTGAGTGGTATGGGTAAGAATTTTATGATCAGCAGTAAAATGAGACAAGCAAAGAGAGAGAGATGACCTTTCAAATGCTTACTCATTTTGTACTTTCAAAGGCTTTTCAATTAAATTTCAGTTTGAAAGGTCTAAGGTGCCAGTGATGATTGCACATAATTCATGTGATATGTAGCAAAATAACATAGGGAATTATATGGGAAAAGCCCATGTGAATACTGAAAAGAAAGCTACCAGGATAACAAGAAATTAGGAGTAGGTGGAAACACATCTTGAAAATTTGATGGGTGAAAACTAATGAAAATGTAACTGAGAATGGTGAATATGCTGGTATAAGAAAAGTGAAGACAGAATACCAGTACTGTACAGGTATACTATGTATATATATTTATGTAGGAAAGGAATAAATGTGGAAAAGCTGCAGATATTGATGAGGCAGACGTAGAAATGATTAATACCTGCTGATGCCTCGCCACCTCATAAAGTGGGTAATCGAGTAGTAATAATATGATAATACTAACAACAATGATAACAATAATGATAATAATAAAGCTGATCCTTTCACTTTCACTTCTTTTGTCTCTCTTAAATGAATAATGCCCACATCACTCGTCCTTAACATACACAAACAGTCACTCTTTCCATTACCATTTGCTCCCTTCAAATTCCAAACACATACAATTTTTCCTTCAGATGCTTCAGGAGAAAAAGCCTGATCATTACCATTCCACAGCCTGCAGGCTGAGGGTGAAAAAGAATTTCCACTGTTTTACAAGTCAAACAAAACCCTAAATATAATTTGGAATATAAATGCAGAATATAAAATTACAAGCAAGATTCTACATGTATCCAAAATAATATTCATAATTCATATACGGAATCCACCATATTGTGTTCACAAGTTACGAGCCCGAGTGTGCCAGATAGCAAGGTAGGAAGCAGCACCTACACCCAGTACCAGCTGCAAGTTTGGCATAGTTCTTATTACGCCTTAACAACAAGCATATGCGTGAAAAACTACATGCATGCAAGGGACACTTATTTGTTACGATACCAGAGCTAAATAAAGATGCACAAGCACCAAGTAGATGCATGGCTGATCCACACTCAATGCATGAATGGCATCAATTTCTCTCTCTTATCAGACTTATAGGACTGAATCTATTAATCCTAATGATTTGTGTTTCAAATTTGTAGGCTTAGATATCACTAGGCCTATATATGAACTTAATGGACTGTATTTCAATCTATTACTAAACTGAAGCTCTGGTATACAAAATGCAGCCTGGTGCAGTTGCTGTTGCTACCTACTTCCGGTATATTTATAAATGGTACTCTTCTCAATAACCCATCATCAACTAAAATGTATTAGCTTATTTTGTAAATAGTTCACATGCAAACAAATGTTTAAACTGAAAATGTTTATGATGCAGTCATACTTTTATTATTGCAAGTATTATAATCCGAGTTTTGTTTGACTTAGGCCAATTGTGAAAGAAACTGATCCTTATTCGATTCAGTGTTCTTTAGAAAAACAAAACAACAAAATAAATCATTACAGCAGTCTTTCAGTGCATACACTGTCTTCATCATTCAATAAACTATGTTCATATTTCATTAAGCTCTATGGCATGTTAATACAGAACATGAAAATGCCATCATTTACAGCCTGCGTATTCAGCCTTATTTAATGATACTGGCTCACTCATTCCCTGCTCCAACAGACTTCCTATATGTGCATACTCACTCTCATCCATATGATTCCAGGCGAATCTTTTTCCCTTTGCATTATCACATCATATTTACGTCAGTCTAAATCTTAAATCTAACTTGATATAAATGAACGGTTTTTTTATTAGCAACCATTTACATAAATGCACTTGTTTAAAATTTGCAACCAGCTAGTATATTTGTATTTTACTATTAAATTTAAAGACTTTTCCCCCATCCAGAGAAAGGAATCCAGTGCAAAATTAGTACTGTATAGAGAAATGCTAATAGTATTTAATTAATGTTAATATCTGTGAAGAATTTGCTCTTGCGCAGTTGAGAGTAGTGAAAGTTAAGAGAAGCAATGAAAGCTCTCGTAATGAAAGAACAAGACGAGAAGAAATGCAACCAGAGCACTACATGACGTATTGCCTATTCTTATTTATGGCAGTTAAATAGAAGAACCGAGGACAAAATGAAGGACAGCCAGACACACGTACACATAGGGCAACAATAGCTTCACTCTCTTGTGACTTTTTTACGATAAGGTAAGAAATTCTTTACGGTTATTTATAAACATATCAGGCAATGTATAAACGTAAGCATTACAATACTTTGTCAATAGTCATGAATGAACACAGTTTAATGAGGTTGCCAATCACAATTCCAACACAGCTGGCTACCTATGACAAAAACACATTCCCATATGCACCATAGCTCACATAAGAATGCATAACATGTATACCAAATAAACAGCTTTATGCATTCCTCAACTATTTCACTTCTTCCACACACACAAGCTAAACACGCTTTGAGTGGCCTCTTAACATTTACCCTTTATCTTTATTTGTATAATGCTGAAGATACTGTGTGTAAAAGACTATTTCAATGCAAAATGAATACTTTTGAAAGACTAAAAAATATAATATATATACAATTATGAACATATATGATCAAAAGAAGTCTCTCCGTACTCCAGTATTCACCTGGAAAGCGGAATGCTTGATGATGTGCAGGGGAAGCTGTGATAATTGGAGCTGGACTGGAAGGAGTGGAGGAGTTGCAGCTGGAGGTGTTAGAACTAGAGTCTGGACCCTGAAGACACAAATGTCTCTCATTAGTAACTGACTAATCAAAGTAGAGAAAGAAAACCAATTAATGTGACAAACGTTGACCAAACCACACACTAGAAAGCGAAGAGACGACGACGTTTCGGTCCGTCCTGGACCAGTATCAAGTCGACAATCGACTTGATAATGGTCCAGGACGGACCGCAACATCATCGTCACTTCACTTTCTAGTGTGTGGTTTGGTCAACATTTTTCAGCCACATTATTGTGACTCCTAATCTAAATATGACAAATGTCCTAAAGATGAAGGAAATTCTAACATTATATTAATTTTAAGAATAAAAATTTATATCATGCTTGCATTCCAGTGATGCAATATGCATTGATGAATTTTCCATAAACATGAATTTTAAATCATATTATGAAGGAAACTACTCAAATCATGTGTCTCACGATGGGTGGACTTCGAGGACTTTATAGTGTGGCCAGCCCCTGCTCACTAGTACCTGCATTTGTTTAAGGTATTTGTAGTGACTTCTTTAGGAATCTATAAATATGCAGGCGATGAGTCACAATAACGTGGCTAAATTATGTTGACCAGACCAGACACTAGAAGGTGAAGGGATGACGACGTTTCGGTCCGTCCTGGACCATTCTCAAGTCAATAGAATGGTCCAGGATCGACTTGAGAATGGTCCAGTACGGACCAAAACGTCGTCGTCCCTTCACCTTCTAGTGTGTGGTCTGGTCAACAATCTATAAATACTTTGTGCTGCACCTTATATAAAATGAGAGTTGGAAAATAAAATAAGAATAAAACTAATATTAAAAGCATCTTCACAAAAACCTAGCACATTAACATTTAATAGGCATGTTTAATGACAAAAATATAAAAGCTGAGAGAAGAATCACTGCAATAGTATAATGTCAAACCTATTGATTAGACTTTTAGGAGCATTTTCACTACGTAAAATTATAGTTTCTCTCACCTGGAAGGATGGTATGTTAATGGACGGCTGGGAGTAGGACTTGGAGCTGTTCTGTAATGGAGGGGAGAATACATCGTTGAGATGAGAATGAGAGATGCCTGGGGTACCTCGAAGAGGAAGCCCACCGTCCATACCACCCTTCTTCAGAGTCTGTAAGAGACAAAAATACACACATTCGTTTTCCTTACAAAGCACGACAACAGTTGAGATACAAATAAAGATCACATTAAATAAGTCCTTCAGTCTACATCACTTCTCATATAGATTAAATGAGTCAATATGTACAGCAGCCAATACTTATCAGGAATAAGAAATACAAAATCCCAGAAATTGAACGACAAACTAAACCATAGGGTTTATTGATTGCAGGATTGTTGTACATTAATTCAAAAGGCACTGTACGTGGCCACATTTGACTATCACCTGACTAATCCCAATATGAAGTGTACCTTCCAAAGGTAAAACAGTGGCAATGAAGTTAGATCAAGAGACCAATATAGTCCAACTCACATCTGTAAAAATCTGAAGATATGCATGAGGCAAGCCACAGGATGGTGGAACCTTTGGTTCACATTCACGGTGGCATTTAAAGCTGCACTCCTTGCACTTCAAACCTGGGAAGGAAATGTAAAGATGAAAAGAATTACAGTGAACTCTCCAAAATCTGCACCTTCAAATATCATTAGTACAAATTTTAATAATAGACCTGATACCTACAATTCAAATTAGATCCAGATTCTTAGAAACAATTGGCAAAAATTTAGACTGACTCTGCATAGAAATTTCTAGCCAATCATGTGTGTGCTGTATTTTTACTATTCTTGTGCTTTAGCAGCACAGTACTGTAAACATTAAAGATTTTTTTAATTTAAATGGTTTACTATACTTATAATGAGCTATTAATTCAACAAAACAGTTTTGTGACATTTTGCCTCTAAATGTCCCAGATCTACTGTATTGATACTAGTCATGTCAAGACAATGTGATCATCTTTGTGATGGAAAGTTGCTACCTCTTGTTACTCATGGATTTCCCTCTTTATACATCCTCATTAAATAATCCCTAGCATCTCCTCCTCTCTCCTTCCCCTCTCTCTCTCTTCCATGTCTATCATTATTTTATTAAACCAAGACTAGGGTTCTTTAGGAATGGAACTGATGTTCCTAAAACTACAAGCTAGTAGCAGTTATCCTACATCACCTCACCTAAAGCCCAACCCAAAAAGAAGATGCCTCATCCAAGAGTAAAAATAAAGATTTTTTTAATTTAAAAATGACTCGATACAAGGAAACTCAAAGTACTGTACCTGAACATATCGATAAATGGTATAATAAAGAAGCCCCCACAAGACGGTAGAGAGAATTAGAAACCTTGCTTATGGCATACGTTAAGATACAGTATCTCTCACCATGGTGCTCATAATCTTATGACAAAAAATAACTTCTCCAAAACATGTTTTGCTTTGTCAATGGTAACCTCATATATCGGTTATGATATAGACAATGCAGTAATTATACAAAAAGACACATTACCACTCAGAATTGTAAACTTGTGATGACAGTAGCCACATGTTGCCGATTTGATGGTCTTCATAAACCTATGTTGAACATTATGAACCATGGAGCCAGGTAAAGTTGGGGTACGTGGTGACTTTGGCACCCCGAGGGTATCTGCAAATAAAAATCATGGTTGATAAGTGTTTCAACATTTACGTTAATACTGTATCTTGTCTTACTCTACTCATTTGACTTTCTCACTAAATAGCTTAAATTTATCATGTACATTCCTTGACACAATTTATCACAAACTTGACTTTAAAAAGTGGATTAATAGACAAAATTTAAAACATGAAGTCTATGTACCAATATTCAGGCAAAATTCTTATCTATTTACCTTTTCTACATAATAAGCATCAGAAATGCTTTAGACTTGTGAACCTTGTAAAATGCAATACTGGTTACACATTTTCCTAGCCACAATTTCATTGGATTTTGTCAATTTTAAACTAGTGAAATATTTAGAGATCTTGAAATCAGTTACTTCAACTTAACAAATCTCATTTGACAAATTGTGCAAGACTTTAAAATAATGCTTCACAAAGACCTAAAAGCAAGACAAGAATGTATCAATGTAATAGAAGCAACAACAACATACTCTTCAACGAAGTAACCGACACAACTGTACGAAAAATGACAGGTTAGATAACAAGACCCTCTTTAAAAAAAAAAAAAAAAAAAGAGACTACCCTTCATGGTTATTCTATCACATGCTTCTTTAGCATAATGTTGTATCCCACTTTACTGTGAAACAAAAAATAATGCTTACTGGTAAAAAAAAAAAAAAAAAGAGGTTTAACAGAACAAACAATAAAAATGACTGGATCACTTACTCTTGTTCGTATAATTCTCCTCCTCTGCAGGATCTGCGTAGTTAGGAGATTTAATTGGACTGGCCAAAGTAGAAGGTGCCGGGGAGTTCTGTGCTGTCCTGAGTTCCCGAACATCAGTCCTGCTCCTACTTCCATCTGTTCTCTTGCCAACATTTTCAACTGTTACCGAAGCTTCAGATTCAGAGTGAAGTCGTGTTCGTCGTGTGCCCAGCTGCTCCATGCTGCCACCCAGCCAAAAATTATTTAATTTTCTTCTTAATAAGAAATGACTACAATAGATTTATAGCAGAAGCAGAATAAAGATGGCAGCAACAATATACAGTATTGCATTCAGCATGAAAATGAATGTGAAGCAAAGTGCAGAGTAATATAAATCATGTAATTTATTCCAAATTAAAGCAATAGTGTAAATACAGGTCATGAATTACAAAGCCCCCATCCCATCCATGAGATGTAATCAAAATATGGAATAAAATGCCAACATAGGCAAGCACATATCCAGGTGAATATTTCCAAGTCGTAGAAGGATTGGTATCGTAGAGGCAGGTGTAGGCACACGTTGCCCATACGAACGAAGAGCAGCAGCATTTCACACACAGGAAGGCAGGCAGGTGGCGACAGCAGCCAGCATAACAAAGGCAAAAACAAAACTAAGCTACTAAACAAGACAAATGCAATAACCTTAATACATAGTTACTCAGTAAATCATGAACAACAGTTTCCCACCATCATATACGACATGAAGCAAAACGTGGGACATGCATGTAGCATAAATGCCAGGATTTCTAAATACTTTTGTACACTAGTCTAAGGAACTCCACATTACCACCTAAGATGCTAAATTCCCCAAAATACAATTGGTATAGCCAAATGTCAATAGGAATAACTGACTTGTACAAATATCACACAGTACAGTATTTACAAAATACTTAAAAGCTACATTACGTTATGTACAGTACAAGTGTATGACTAGTATATTGGTCTGTGCTAAATACACGTGTAGCAAATGAACCCTTGCATTACTAAAAGACTACATGGTGTATAGAAAAAGAATTACATCTATAATTTTATTTACTAATATCCTAACCTAATTACTGTACAGTATATCCTGAAGATTTAATGGTACTCTATTTTCCAACATTCAATTTTCAAGCAAAACAAAAATTATTGCAGTAAAGTTTGTGATACTGTATAATCATTTGGAAGACATTATTTGTGAAGTGCACGAAGGCCTTATATCTTATAACCGAGTAAAATTGTAAATCCTCTCAACACCTCCACATTCTGAAGGTGGTGTAATTTTCTTGTGTAAAGTAAACCATGACATTCAGCTGTTACTTAAATGATATATAAAATGTCTGTACAGCACAGAACACATTTTGTTGGCTTGCTCACTTTTGTAGCTGGAACATTGAATTTTGGTATCAAAATGCTCAAAACTTATTCATCTAGAGAATGAGAGAAAAAGAGGGGCTGCTCAGTTAGCAAAAGTTTATAAACATTTCTACATTGCATAGTTATTTAGGATTATATTATATGTAAATGAAAGCAAATTTTATATCTCCATCACTGTAAAAAAAATTATTTGAATTTTTATTCAATCAATTTGAAAAGTGAGCCCTAACTTATGTACCTGTGCCACTACTACAAACTTTACTTATTTTCAGTTTGCAAGGCTCTACATGTGTTTAGAACATTTATTTAGTATTCAACTGTTTAAACTGTTGAATATATCTTCCTCATAATAGTGTAGTATACACCAAAATGTTACCCCTTTGTATCAGTACTGTAATTTAGAAGCTTTTCTTGCTCAACAATATACATAATCTTTCCACCATATTATAACCAATGTGGAGGTCAACCATTTGGGAAACTAGAGCAAGATGTAATGAAAAGCAGCATAACGTGTCAAACCTAACCTTGAAACAAAAAAAACAAAAAAACAGAACAGAGGTCACAGGTTTAATCCATCCATCAATGCAGACCACATAATAGTCCCATGGATGTAAGCATGTTTCAATGGCATTTGTGACTACAGTATCTTAAGACAAAATTCAGTTTCAATGAACGAGTTTGCATGTTTTCTACCAACTTCACAGGTAAAAAGAAATCCCCTCCCATGTGCAGCAGGCACTGGAGATCTAAAGTGTCCCCCTAAGTACTAATAGTTTCTGCATTGCTCACTTAGTTCAAGCAAATGAGCTACTTTACATTAATCTTTGCAGCATGTGCACATTAAGAAAAACAAGACAGAAAGAGAGAACTAAACAAACTTTGAGAATTTTGTTCAGCTACATGTACATTGTTGCAAAAGCATAACACAGTACTGTACTGATGCATCTCTTATAGTTGTACATCCATCTTACTATTGCCTCATGCATCAGGTGTTGCACACTACAAAACATGCATTCACTACTTAAAACTAATCACTTGTAGCTATTCACATATATATACGCCACTTGCAAGAGGTTAACGTACAAAACATACAAGCATCTACTATAGGAATCTAGGAACCATCCTAAAATTCAATCACAATCATGTGCAGACTTTATTAAACTACATGTAAAGCACACACTATAATAAAAACTAACATTCACCTCAAACAGGCACTAAACGTCAATAGACATAAAACTACCTGAGGAGTGTGGATGACGGCTGTTCGGGGCCTTCAGTACGAGGCGCAAGCTGGGATTCGTGAGAGGTGGACCGCCCCAGTGGTTGCATGGGGTTCAGGAGGCATGTTTGATATTTCTTACCAGGTGGTGGAGTCGTTGGAAACTTCTTATCACCTTTTGGGGGGAATAAAAAACATATGCATGATATAAGAACATAAGAATAAAGGTAACTGCAGAAGGCCCATTGGCCCATACAAGGCAGCTCCTATTATACAAAGATATGTTCTTATGGAGGGAAGGAATATACATACAGCATATACATTAAACTAAGGGCTGTGACAATAAAAAGGTACATACTACATGGAATAGGTCTAAAATATACATATTCTAAATTTAAATTGAATATCTTGAACCATTCTTAATACAGAAAATGAAATTATTGCAAAACTTGCAAGGGTATCCTTTTTTGTTACCAATACTACATGGACAGTTTCAGAAATTAGGGCGTGTGTGTGTGTTAAGATTTTGGTGCAGTCATGCACATTAAAGATATTGCTCAAGGTCCCATGGGAAAACTACTCTTCCTGGGTCTAGGTACACTTTCTTATCAAAATTATAGCACTAAGGGTAAAAATAGATACTGTACTATACAATAATTGGTAGGTTATACACACTGCCAAAAGGATCGGATGGCATCTGGTTTCAAAATAATCGAGATAATCCAAATTTAACTGTACTGTTAAAAAATGAGTAAATTGTGTAACCCATCTTCTTGTTTACATAGTACCTATTGTGATGGTCGCCAATAGTCATGAATTCGTACGTACCTGTACCTAACTTTTAGATAGTAGTATAGTGACTAGTAAGGATTTTTTTTAAATAAATGAAGCTAAAAACTAATTTAATCATTCCTAAGCCTAGTATAGCACACATTTGTACTATATTAAGCCTCAGTTATTGTGTATTAGGCCTAGGAAGGTTAGGTCAGGTTACTTTAGTTTGTCAAAGCAAAGTAATGACCTTTCCCACATCGGCTAAAAACCTACTGCCCGCCATATATCTGAATAAATTAGTTTCAGATGCCTGAGGCTTACCCACAAAATTATTTGACATCAAATCCTCAACCTTACCCAGCCCTAATACACTGTAAATACACTGTATACTTTAATGGTATAGCCCCTAAGACCCTCACAATGTTGACATCAAAGCCAGAAAGAATGAAGTCTAAGACACCAAAGCAATGGAAACCTTTATCCAGCTCATTTTAAAACTTTATCACTTAACATTTTAAAATAATTTGTGTCACTAACCTGAAGATTTGCCCTTGGGAATTATATTAGGCGTTGGAGGAGGGGTATAGCGTTTCTCAGAAAAGACAGAGCCACTGCCTGGAAGGGTGAGGTTGGAGGGTGCATGGAAGGGACCACCAGGACTTAATGGAGGAATGAAGGAGAGAGGTGGAGGGGGCGAGGAGGGAGTAGAGGAGTCATCACTGCTACGTTGGCTTATTGGTGCACCTCTTCCACTAGTCCGACTCCCATCTCCACTCCAGGCCCCTCCACTTGTGCTCCCACTGGTGATGCTGCCACCATCTCCATCAGAAGAAGACACAGAAGACCGGCATTCCCGTTGTGTTCGATGGCTAGGACGGGGAGACGATGGGCAAGAGCGCTCCCAAGAGTCCCAGTACAGGGGTAATTCTGAACTTCCCCAGTCTCCACCCTGGCCTTGCATCTGGATCTCTGCAAAGTAAGAAAAACTATAACAAATCAAAAAGAAAACACTGACAAAAAAATGTAGTTATATATACACAGTATTTATATACTGCATACAAGTAAAAATGAGAAGAGGGAGACAGTGTTTAATACACTGCAATAATAAGGTAAAAGAGGAAAGTGAGATATGTAATTGTGTAGACTATACTGTAGTTAAGATTTCATTGTATACTTCACAAATAGTGCTTGGTTTTTCTTCTATTATGTTGCCATGTGTTATCCACATGCATCCAAGTCTCAAACTGGTCAGCACAACTTCCCATCGACAATTTTTCTGCAGAGAAGCTGGCCATGTTAAGTTAGTTGGCATCATCTGTCTCTGTTAGTTACCTGTAATGGATTGTAATGTGTTTTGCCAAAATTCTATTTGTAGCACATTAATCTCTGTAAGGCAGTTGCTAGGTTGAATATTGAGGATTTCACTGTTTTGTAATCAAATCTATTAACAGGCAGTTCAATTCCAGTTACTCCTATAATGGAAAAAATTTGTTTACTACATTTTCTTCACAGCCACTATCTGATCTCTATTATTATGGAATGTGTAGCTATATTTTTCTATGGCCACGGTATGCACCGTGTGCTTAAAAGTCAACAAAGATGGTGTGACTGTTCTAAATGCTGATATCAATGCTTTTTATTATATTTTGAGGGGTTCCTATCTGGACAGATGGCTGCAAATCCCATTCCTTCAGAGGATTTGAAGCACTCCATATAATCAAAATCAAAATTTGTACACTAGTTGTATTTCAGGAATTAGTTTTTTTGTGTGCGCAAGGAACCTGCAAAAGTTTATTTCTGACTTTCAGTGGTGATATGCACATAATAGAGGAATAACAATACCAGTAATGTGTTGTATTTGACAGTCGAGCCCGAATGATTAGGTATATTTTATATTACTCCAAGATGTTTTGATCCTTTTGAAAGTTGGAGAACAATAATTTGTAGAACCTTACCAAGTACCAGTACCAAAAATACAGTAGTTCCATAAGAACGTAGTGACAATCACCGAGTGACATTTGCTTCATCGGCTATACCACACACACTGACTAGCTCTAAACAATACAGTTTAATGATTAAGAAGCTTTACCTACACAAACATACATTGATGGTCTCTTACCTGTATATCGCTTCAGATTGTGCATGGCTCGAGCCAGCTTATGGGCTTCGCTCCGGTCTGCTCCATAGTCACTGAGGATGTTCCGTAATTCATTTTCTCTCTTTTCAAGCAATCCTTCAAGTGTTGAGACTCGTTGGCACATACCCTATAAAGAAAGGCATACGGTAAAACAAATGACAACAAAATTGATTGAAATGTATTGATACATTGGCTATAGGATTTTTTTCCTGAAAAACAGAACTTTTCCTTATTTCATGATGAACCAAGGAGACTGGATCATTTTCATGCTCATTAGTCAAGATTTTTATCCATCACTGAGGAGTGTATTTAGGGCTAGAACAATACAATATACTGTAATAGTAGATTATTGGATCTATTGAAGTTATATTAATGAAATAAGAGAAACAACTATCCAGGAATATTATTTACTGTACTGTACTTACATTGACTGAATCCTTACAAAGTCCAACAACTTGAAGCCACTGCTTGAGAGACGGGTAAAGCTGCAGCTCCAGGGGCAGTGGGACACCTGTCGGTAAATGTCGCTTCGTCACCAACTGGAGGCTGAACAGCTTCACCAACTTTCCCTGGATTTACAAAGTTAAAGTTATTACTAGTAATGTATAGACCTAATGCATTTTGCAAGTACTGCAAACATGATAAACACTTAATGCAAAGTGTTAGGCCTAAATACCAAACTTAGACTATATAGAAAGGACAAGGTAATTAACAGAACGTTGACCAGACCACACACTAGAAAGTGAAGGACGACGACGTTTCGGTCAGTCCTGGACCATCCTCAAGTCGATTGAGAATGGTCCAGGACGGACCAAAACGTCGCCATCCCTTCACTTTCTAGTGTGTGGTTTGGTCAACATACTTCAGCCACGTTATTGTGACTCATCGCCTGTAATTAACAGAAATTAAGTTTGAAACTAAATAAATGCATCATCAAAACATGATCCAAACAAATAAGAAATCAAAGGGCATTTATTTTGTCTGAGGAAATAAAAAAAAATTAGCTGTTGCATAAATGTATTAAGGAGAGAAGCTAAAAAATTGAAAAATTAAACATATATTGTACTGTACAATGCTGTAGTAAACATAAAACAGCACATTCTGCATAAGAAAATGCTATTTTTAATACAGCAATTGTTGAATACTATGATTTCATAAAACATAGGTATTGAATAAAGAACCATAAAGGTAAAATGCTAACAAAGCCTATTCCCAACTTTCTATTTCTATTTCAGTATAAACCCTAATATTTGCCAGTTATCTAGTACGACAAAGCCTAAAACGAAACTCAAAATTTACTGGGTGGCATATAGAATATTAAAAAAAAAATTTAGGCCGACAGACCAGGAGAAAACTAGGAAGGGTAAACATGCTACCAGTATAGATGTTTAGACTTTTGTAAATATATGGGAAATGTGTAAAATACCTATTAGTCTGAAAACCAGCACTAGGACTCCAGGAATTTTAGGTTAATATATTAGTTGACATTGCATGTACAACATTCATTCTAGTGTCATTTTATAGAATATAATTTTCTCTTTCAATTCATACATACAACATGTACAACAATGAATGTACAACATTCATTCTAGTGTCACTTTATAGAATATAATTTTCTCTTTCAATTCATACATACAATACATACATTTGCGCTATAAGTCAGAGTAATCTTGTCCACGTAGACTATTGATAACTAAAAATGTGGATATTACAATCCTCACTTGTACAATTACAAAGGAGATTTTAAAAATATGTGCACATAAGCTATATAACAGATCAAGATTTTTTTAACTTCATATCCCTAGCCACACAGATGAAGATATCCCAAGACAGAATCAGTATATAATATCCCAAATATGCATCTGGAATATAATAACGAACCAACAACCTTATTAAACTTTATAACATCTCGCTTAAAATACCTATTAAATACATATCCTATCTGAGTGCCCTCTCCCTGACTAATTTCCATTACACACACAACATAAGCATACATTCTAAAAAAAAAAGCTGTTTCCCAATTAAATATTTTCTTGTATATTTTGTTAAGCAGGTGTTTGTATAAATACAAAAATAATACACTACATAAATATATAATTTACATTATACAGCATTTTCTTTCAGATTAGCAAATTTTGGCAAGCATCAACTTAAAAGATTAAAACACAAATTGCACTAAAAAAAACATTATGGTAGCCATATTACAAAACATCTATTAACAATGTTCCATTCATCAAGTTAAGCTGGATTGACAGCATTCAATATTCAGAGAGTAAAAAAAAGCATGAGGTGGCAACTTAACCAGGATGAAGTCTAGGCCAGAGGTTCCACTCCAGCAAACATGTTCTCATACCGTGCAACCTAACCTACATGCACACGCGCAAAGCCACACATTCTTGCACAACATTTTGACTCCGTAGCTCACTATGTATGCATGTCTATCAAAGCATTCACTCATTACTGGAGTCAATTAAAACCCTAAATTCAAAGCTTTTCTTCATTGAAGTGTATTCGAAAAAAAATCAATGTTTTCAAGAGCCTTTATTAGTAAGGGGAATTAGATACACTTCATATATATTGTACTGTAATTCATTACTGTATTTACACTTATTAGCCATTATGATGCTACTGCCACTAGTCTTAAGTATCCTAATATAAAACCCTCACAGGCAATAAGGGTGCTTGCAGAAGGGTGTCGCCGAGAGTTGCAGAGAGTTTGCCGCGGAGAGCGCTGCAGAGTGTTTGCCGCGGAGAGCGCTGCAGAGTGTTTGCCGCGGAGAGCGCTGCAGTGTTTGCCGCGGAGAGCGCTGCAGAGTGTTTGCCGCGGAGAGCGCTGCAGAGTGTTTGCCGCGGAGAGCGCTGCAGAGTGTTTGCCGCGGAGAGCGCTGCAGTGTTTGCCGCGGAGAGCGCTGCAGAGTGTTTGCCGCGGAGAGCGCTGCAGAGTGTTTGCCGCGGAGAGCGCTGCAGAGTGTTTGCCGCGGAGAGCGCTGCAGAGTGTTTGCCGCGGAGAGCGCTGCAGAGTGTTTGCCGCGGAGAGCGCTGCAGAGTGTTTGCCGCGGAGAGCGCTGCAGAGTGTTTGCCGCGGAGAGCGCTGCAGAGTGTTTGCCGCGGAGAGCGCTGCAGAGTGTTTGCCGCGGAGAGCGCTGCAGAGTGTTTGCCGCGGAGAGCGCTGCAGAGAGTTTGCCGCGGAGAGCGCTGCAGAGAGTTTGCCGCGGAGAGCGCTGCAGAGTTTGCCGCGGAGAGCGCTGCAGAGTGTTTGCCGCGGAGAGCGCTGCAGAGTGTTTGCCGCGGAGAGCGCTGCAGAGTGTTTGCTGCGGAGAGCGCTGCAGAGTGTTTGCCGCGGAGAGTGCTGCAGAGTGTTTGCCGCGGAGAGCGCTGTAGAGTGTTTGCCGCGGAGAGCGCTGCAGAGTGTTTGCCGCGGAGAGCGCTGCAGTGTTTGCCGCGGAGAGCGCTGCAGTGTTTGCCGCGGAGAGCGCTGCAGAGTGTTTGCCGCGGAGAGCGCTGCAGAGAGTTTGCCGCGGAGAGCGCTGCAGAGTTTGCCGCGGAGAGCGCTGCAGAGTTTGCCGCGGAGAGCGCTGCAGAGTTTGCCGCGGAGAGCGCTGCAGAGTTTGCCGCAGAGAGCGCTGCAGAGTTTGCCGCGGAGAGCGCTACAGAGTTTGCCGCGGAGAGCACTACAGAGGGTTTGATGTATAGAGCGCTGCAGAGCGTGCTGCGGAGGGCTATTCTGCATTTTCTTCCATATCGTTCACTCCAGTACGTTGTTATTTTACTGTGTAGATGGGGACCTGGCCCTCCAGTATTTTCCATGTGTATATTATTTGGTATCTCTCTCGTCTCCTTTCTAGCGAGTGCATTTGAAGAGCTTTGAGACGATCCCAATAATTTAGGTGCTTTATCTCGTCTATGCGTGTCATATATGTTTTCTGTATTCCCTCTATTTCAGCAATCTCTCCTGCTCTGAAGGGGAAAGTGAGTACTGAACAGTACTCATGACAGGACAACACAAGTGATTTGAAGAGTACAACCATTGTGATGAGATCTCTGGATTTGAAGGTTCTCGTAATCCATCCTATCATTTTTCTGGCTGATGCAATATTTGCCTGGTTATGCTCCCTAAACTTTAGGTCGTGGGACATCATTATTCCCAAATCCTTGACATGCTGTTTTCCCTACTATGGGCAGATTCGATTGTGTTTTGTACCCTGTATTATGTTTCAGATTCTCATTTTTGCTGTATCTGAGTACCTGAAATTTATCAATGTTAAACATCATGTTATTTTTATTTTCAGAGGGTGTCGCAGAGGGCGTCATTAGGCGCGTCGCAGAGTAGAGGGCGCCGCGGAAGGCATCACTGGGGGCATTGCAGAGCGGAGGTCATCGTGGAAGGCATCACTGGGGGCGTCGCAGAGGGCGTCGCATGGGGTGTCACGGAGGGCGTTGCAGAGGGTGTCACGGAGGGCGTTGCAGAGGGTGTCGCAGAGGGTGTCACAGAGGGCGTTGCAGAGGGTGTCACGGAGGGCGTTGCAGAGGGTGTCACGGAGGGTGTTGCAGAGGGTGTCGCAGAGGGTGTCACAGAGGGCGTTGCAGAGGGTGTCATGGAGGGCGTTGCAGAGGGTGTCATGGAGGGCGTTGCAGAGGGTGTCACGGAGGGCGTTGCAGAGGGTGTCACGGAGGGCATTGCAGAGGGTGTCATGGAGGGCGTTGCAGAGGGTGTCACGGAGGGCGTTGCAGAGGGTGTCACGGAGGGCGTTGCAGAGGGTGTCACGGAGGGCGCTGCAGAGGGTGTCACGGAGGGCGTTGCAGAGGGTATCACAGAGGGTGTCACAGAGGGTGTCACAGAGGGTGTCACGGAGGGTGTCACCTCAGCCACAGCACCAGGTAGTGTGGGTAGGCCTACACCAGGTGTTTTTTTTGTATTATTTTCTACCACAGACATGGCCATACATTTACAATGTTAACCAACATATATACATTTTCTTCTGACCTCCGTGAACAGGGCGAGAGATCTGTTAAACATATAGTTCATGGATTTATTGATCAACCGCTTAAGATGATTATAGTGCTTTTAAAATGCCAATCTAACCTACATTTGTAAATACATACACAGAGTTACGTCTGCCCTACATAAAGTGTTCAATGTGTCTCTTACATAGTATCATTAATGTGCATTTACAAAGGTGAAATGTAATTCTGACCAGCTTCCACATATACTTTATACAGATACATACATACACATACACACACACATACATACATACACTAACATTTATGGCTCTTGTACTCTGAGAGGGTAAGACAGCTGATAGAGAAATTAGTGTGTTATTAAGCACTTAACCACTGAAAGTAATTACGATGCTTTTACAAGCTCAGGTCATAAAGGTAGGTTATATAGGTTACCAGATAGTGCGGCCAGGCCTACACCAGGTAGTACGGCCAGGCCTACACCAGGTAGTGCGGGCAGGCCTACAGAGAGACAGCTGGAGGAGCAGGAAGAGAGAGTAGAGACCAAAGGAAGACCAGGAGACTGTTACCTCTAAGGTGCGGATCTCCTGCTGTGTGAGCTGGGCGCTGGTGGCACACTGGGACCTCAGCCTCTCCAGGTGCTCTGCCTGCGAGGCGATGAACTGGTGGTGGGTCTCGCAGGTCTCCAGCGCCCGCTGTATCACCTCCTGCACGCCCATCTCGCCCCCGCCCACCTGCTGTTGATGGCCATCTCGCTCGCCTTGTAAGACTCCCACCAGCCTCCCGCCGCCGCCGCCGCCCCACGACATGGTCGAGCTTACTATCTGTCTATAGACACTGTGCACAGGACCAGGCGCCGTAGCCCGCGCGTTCCCTTCATGCTTGGTCGCCGCTCGCCCGCGCTGAGCCTCAAGCTTACACCAAACACATAACGGAGCGCCTCACACACTGGCCGCCATCATGGATCCCCAGCAAACATTTCTCACTCCTTCCTCTGCGTTCTACCAGCACTTACTCTCTCCCGCCTTCACTCGTCTCAGCTTTTTAATGCCGCTAATTTACTCTCTACCATTATCTTTATTACGATATTTATTTATATATCGACCACTCGTAGGTTTTATTTCATGCTAGGATGCATATTGGGATAAACAAAAAAACAGTTTGGGTTATAATAACCTTTACAGGACAAAACATGTAATTACTAAATAAATCAAATAACATAGTATTTTTTATAAATTATTAATAAATAAATAGGTGTTTAACAGACAAATATATTGGGAATAATTGATGTAATTCTCACCAGATTACATTGACAGGAGTCGTGTAGAAAACGGGAACTCCTCAGCTTACTTAAGGAGGTGTGTGAGCTCAGTCAATCTTAAGTTTAATTAGTCGCTTAATTAGTGATTGTGGCGGTGATTTAAGCTCTGTAGCTGCTGTAGGGATCAATAACGACACCTACGGCAGTCCTGTGTCGTTCCTCGGACTATTTAATTGTGCTTTTGTAGGAATATACATGTTCTTAATCTGCATCTTAATGTTTACGAGATAAGAGTAATCAAGTACATCTTAGGGAGGGAGTGTGGCTGGGAGCATCTTAGGGAGTGGGTGTGGCTGGGAGCATCTTAGGGAGTGAGTGTGGCTGGGAGCATCTTAGGGAGTGGGTGTGGCTGGGAGCATCTTAGGGAAGGAGTGTAGCTGGGAGCATCTTAGGGAGTGAGTGTGACTGGGAGCATCTTAGGGAGGGAGTGTAGCTGGGAGCATCTTAGGGAGTGAGTGTGGCTGGGAGCATCTTAGGGAGGGAGTGTGGCTGGGAGCATCTTAGGGAGGGAGTGTGGCTGGGAGCATCTTAGGGAGGGAGTGCGGCTGGGAGCATCTTAGGGAGGGAGTGTGGCTGGGAGCATCTTAGGGAGGGAGTGTGGCTGGGAGCATCTTAGGGAGGGAGTGTGGCTGGGAGCATCTTAGGGAGGGAGTGCGGCTGGGAGCATCTTAGGGAGTGAGTGTGGCTGGGAGCATCTTAGGGAGGGAGTGTGGCTGGGAGCATCTTAGGGAGGGAGTGTGGCTGGGAGCATCTTAGGGAGGGAGTGCGGCTGGGAGCATCTTAGGGAGGGAGTGTGGCTGGGAGCATCTTAGGGAGGGAGTGCGGCTGGGAGCATCTTAGGGAGGGAGTGTGGCTGGGAGCATCTTAGGGAGGGAGTGTGGCTGGGAGCATCTTAGGGAGGGAGTGTGGCTGGGAGCATCTTAGGGAGGGAGTGTGGCTGGGAGCATCTTAGGGAGGGAGTGTGGCTGGGAGCATCTTAGGGAGGGAGTGTGGCTGGGAGCATCTTAGGGAGGGAGTGTGGCTGGGAGCATCTTGGGGAATGAGTGTAGCTGGGAGCATCTTGGGGAGGGAGTGTGGCTGGGAGCATCTTAGGGAGGGAGTGTATCTGCATCTTCCCCATGGGGATTATTAAGCATAAATTCCATGCTCCCTACATTACATTTATATTAATTTTCTTTTTCAGTGCAAAGAATCAGTATGGCAACTATTAAAGAAGAAAGCTCAAATAAGATTTTTGGAGGATGGCAGAAGGTCTATTCACATGAAAGGTTGGTCTGACTTCCTTGTTGAGTAGATATATATATATATATAGTACAGATATTAATTCCTCTTCAGAACAAGTTAGAGTACAGCTTTGCACAGTGTTAAAACATCATTGGGCATCATGATGTTTTAAAAATGATGTTAAAAATGCATAATAATCTTGTTATGCGCGGTTGATGAGGCTCAAATTGCCTTTCCTCCGCCAAAAAATCGTCCCCATATACACTGCAGGAATAAGATATACAGTATATGATGATTTTTTAAATGTTTATTTACTCTGTTTAACATTTTTTTAACAAAGACATGTCCTTCATTATAGGTTCGTTCAACCCCCTTGTTAGCAACTTCCTTTCTCCCATAAGATTTTGACTGGCAAATATAGGTAATTCTACCTTTTAATTATATTTTTTCTGTATTAAAACCAATGATGTACAAATTTGTTTCAGTGCGGAGCTTGGATGCAGTATGAAGTTTGGCGTATTCGTTCCCCCACAAGCAGAATCAGGTGTGAAGAAATTTTTTGCTTTTTACATACAGTATTTTAGTTATAACTCATCGTCATTTTTACCTTCAAAGACATTTAAAATTTGGTTATCGTGGGAACATTACTTTTAAATTAACATTTCTTATTTGCTCTATACTTTATGACAAGGTAAAACTGTGTTGGCTCTTTTTAAAATATCTGAAGCTTATCTCGAATACAGTAGTTGTTTGTTAATCATTAGAAGCTTTGTAAGATGTAAGATTTTGGTGGTGATTTACAATATTAATGTGATTTCTGATGGTGTTATCTATTGATTGAAGATTTCCCTATTGAGGTAGCTATAGCTAACCTGTTATTTCGTATTGGTGCAGTGAAAATACAAGTATTCACATGAGATGCTTTAAGACTGCATACTCCTAAAGTTTTTGTCCTACTGATCAGTAAATATTTTCAATGTACTGTACTGTATTTTAAGGATTAGCTGGGGTGTCTGTATAAAATTAATTAAGAGTTGATTATTAGAAGACACGTTAGAATTGATCAATTCTAGGAATTACGTTAGGTGTAACCCCTCTAATGATATTTTCTTTTGCTAACACTCGCATATCTACTATTAGATGGTTTGCAACTCGCTCTACCCCTTCAAAATATCTTTGATGTTTACATTCCCCAACGTTATCTGGCTTTGAAGTCTCTTACCACTTACATTGACTTCTTTGTAAATATATACTTGCTTATTTCTTGACCTTTAAATATTCTTTTTTTTTCACTGCAAGCAAATGGCTGCTTCTACTCCATTCTGGAATCAAAACTGGCCTGTACAATGCATCAGCAAATGTTTCTTAAGATTATTTATAATATAGGGTATTTTGAAAGTCAATTTTTGAATGAGTTAAACTTTGCGAGTCTTAAAGAATGTCACTTTATAATGGAGTTTGTCTGTACAGTACTATATTGACTATGGGAGAGAGCTGTCACTCTTTGTGGCCAGCGTTCTGGTCATTGAGGTCAGAACAACAACGTCATTGTTGTATCTGGGTGGTACTATCTATTCTTGACTTGGGAAAAAAAAAAAGACTTCCCATAAGTTACATCCAACCTGTTAATTTTGTTTGTTTTTTTGTAGGACCAGTGCCAGTGATATATTGGTTGTCTGGGTTGACCTGCAATGAGCAAAACTTCATCACCAAAGCTGGGTCTCAGCAGCATGCAGCCAAGCATGGTTTTTTGGTGGTAGCTCCTGATACTAGCCCTAGTAAGTGGGTCAAATTTCATCTGTTATAAATATCTTGTTTATAACATGCATTTGTCATGGCTTTGCTTATTAAAAAAAATCATGAGGTGAATTAATTTTTGTTATACATACTATTGAAAATTAAATACTGTAAATCCTTTTTGTTTAACTTGATAAGGGGGCTGTAATATTGAGGGAGAGGAAGAGAGCTGGGACTTCGGTACTGGTGCTGGCTTCTATGTTGACGCCACCGCAGAAAAGTGGAAAAAACACTACCGCATGTATTCCTACGTCACCAAGGAACTCCCTGCTGTTATTGCTGCTAACTTCAATGTGGAAAGTGATAAAACTGGCATAATGGGACACAGGTAAGTAGTATGTGTACTTTAGGCAATTGGTAAATGAGCTTGCCACTTTATTTTATATTTTTATACCACTTAATCTTAAAAAATTCAATAAAAAATGCCTAATATTATCTGATCTGATTATAAAAGCACCAAAAATTTTCCCCAGCATGGGTGGCCATGGAGCTCTGATATGTGCCTTCAAGAACCCCGACCAATACAAATCTGTGTCAGCTTTTGCTCCAATTTGTAATCCTATTAATTGTCCTTGGGGAGTTAAAGCTTTAACTGGTTATCTTGGTGATGAAGACAAGGATGCTTGGAAGAAATATGATGCGTGTGAGCTGGTCAAGAAGTACAACGGTCCTCCCCTGGAGATCTTTGTAGATCAGGTGAGTAAAAAGTGCATTAATAACAATTTATATACCTAAAGTAAATGTGTTGCTCTGTTCAGAGTGGTATCCTTGGGTATTCTCAATAGGGATGCCTTATAGTTGTCATGTTTATAGTGTTCATTTTTATTATCTTGGTTCTCTTTTAATATGAAGTCCTCTTCAGTCCTCATCAGTTTAATACTGTTTGGCAAGCATTCTTGAATGATCTTCTCTCCTCCAGACAGTTAGATATGTAATTTAGGAATAGTAGGGGATCCAATTATGTACCAAACATCGTGGGACCCCATTTGGCACTTCCCTGTTTTCCATTTATCAGATACACACTAATTCCATTTAGTGTCTTCAGTTACCTCAACCTACTTTTCAACATGTGTATCAACCATTTATGGGTGAGTCTCCAAGGCTTTTTGGTAAAGGGAATTCCACACAATACTCTTTGAATACCATGTTCATTTCTAGGAATCTCTGGCCCTAGCATTGAAAAACACTTGCAAACTTTTCCACGATCACTGGAGCTTACTGCTAAAGGATTAAAACCAACTCTTGTACATCTTTCCTGTTATAGGCAGATGCTGCACATTTGCAGATAAAGACAAGACAAAGAGCTTCATTGAACAACAGACCTATACACCATAAAAATTACTGCAAGCTGCCACCCCACATGAAGGACCTGAAAACTTGTGTCAGTGGTTAGAATATAAGCAGCGTCTTCTACACCTCATCCTACCGACTTAGAAGCATAAGAAAGTGGTGGTCAACGGAGAATAATCAAGCGTAAAGTACTCCTCAAACTGCCCCAAAACTTCATGTGCCATTAATTCCAACAAGAATTGGAATATGTAAATACTAAAGCAAAAGCTCAGCCCCTGTAGCTGTGACACAGATGGTTTGCACCGCATCCAAACAACCTCACTTAACAAAATACTCACAACAGGCAAACAACTTTAGCATGTTAGAGAATTTATAGCAAGCCTTTGAATCTACTTCAGTTAAGTGCTGCAGCAGATGGGTAACCCGGATATGTTGGAATGAAGTACCCACCTTATCTTGCAGACACACCTCCCTGGTACCTGGGAGGTACAATTCTACCTCCTTCCCTACACAAACAAGCAACTGTGCAAAAGAGGAATGAAGTCTAGCTCCCACAGCAAGTGAAGGTGGATGGAAACTATCTAGCACTTGATAGAAAAAACGAAACGTTAAAATGCCTAGTTTGTATGATAAAAAAAAAATGCATGCAATCATACAACTATCTAAAAGCTTGTTGTAATTATGTGTTAATGGACGAATTTGTTTAATTGTAAATTTATCAATAAAGATCATTTAATTCTTACATTATCCTTCTGTTCATTTACAGGGCAAGTCAGATAACTTCCTTACCCAAGGTCAGTTGCTCCCAGACAATTTGGTTAATGCCTGTACTGCTGCTGGAGTTCCAATCGTCATGCGATTGCAAGAGGACTATGACCATTCATATTACTTCATCTCAACCTTTATTGGGGAGCATTTTGACCACCATGCAAAATTCCTAAAGGCATAAGGTTATAAGTTTGTTTCGGCAAAAATAAATCAGATACTTTGTGATTTGTCAGGTTTTGTAAGATCTATACTGTACAGTACTTTAATTACAAAATCTTACTCAATATTGAATAAAAACATCCCAAGATTTTCTTTTGTTCTTCCTGCAAGATTTTACTGTGTGTTTTGCACAAGACTGATGAAATTTGGAAAAATGAAAGACTAATGAGGTAGGTTGGATTTGATTATATATTCTGCTTGCAGTGTTGTCATGTTCTTGCATCTAGTACTGTTTCAGGAGTCTCACTTGATCTCACTGTGTACAATCTTGTGATAAATATCACAAGAGGGTCATGTTAAAAATAAACTTGTTCATATTTCTGTAAATGTATACAAAAGTATGCAATGGATTTTGAGGGAATGTACTGTACATGAGCTCTTAAGCTATTTTGAAATATCACACAAGAGACTAGCCCAGAAACTACAAACACTTGGTTGGAATTATTACAGAATACAAAGGGTCATTCCAAATAGAGGAAAGTCTTAACTGAGAAAATGTTGAGCTGAGTACCAAATGGTTCCCTTTTAGGATTAACCTTTTAGTTTTGTACATCAAAGACATATGACATCTCAAACCAAATCATCAAACTCGAAATGACAGTTCTATTCAAAAGTAGGAAGTGAGAAAGATATTGAAGAACTCTGCAAATGGTGAGAAGACTAGCAAATATCCTTTAATACTGTATTAGTAATGAATGAACTTTTTATAGGGCATAATAATAAATACAGCATCAGCAATACAACCATACAGCATGTTGAAAAAGAAATGTACTTATGGTGCTACATAGTCTTCCTGGCTTGGCATCATCTTTTGATAATTCTTTACTTTTGTGCTCCACCAGTCACTGAAAGCTAGTTGACTAGCACAACACCTGTACCCCCTATTAGACTGTTTTACAGGAACTTCTTTTCGACGGCTCATAAAACGGAGGAAAGTGATTAATATTAATAATGAAAGACATTAATAGGAACGTTATCCATACAGACAAAAATCATAAAATACAAATGACAATTTACTACAAAAACAAAAAACAGCCAATCTACTCATGAAAAACTCCCCAGACACTAAACAGAACGCCTTGAAGGAAACCAACGTCGTCTATGCCTTCACATGCCCATTTGGGGACTGCAAGCCCCAAAGAACTCAGTATATAGGCAAGACAATAACGTCTCTTTCTCTGGCGATTAACAATGCACAAACAACAGGGCTCCATCAAGGAACATAATCTCTTCTCACTACCAGACCATCACCAGAGAAATCTTAACAAGCAACACAGAAATCATCGGTAGATATAGCGATAGCAGGAGACGGGACATCAGCGAGGCACTACACATCAAAAATTCAACTCCAGCAATCAACAGCCAATTATACAATCAACAATCAACAGTGGGAACTATATTCTACCCACTTCAAGACCCCGAACCAACATAGAAGCAGCAAGAGAAAGTATGGGCCAATAGGCCTTGTGTAATTACTTCCATTCTTATATTTATACCAATTGATTTGTGTTCTGTCACCTCACCCAAAACAAATAAAAGCATGATATATGTTATGTGTAAACCAAGTCTTTGAAAATGTAAGAAGCCTTACAAAACGCTTCTAGGTATCAGACCAAAAATAAAAAGGCAAAACAAATTTTGGCGACTTAATTTTTCCAATTACCCTCGACAGTGAAGAAATATTGAAAAAGATTCGTGTTAGAATTATCAATCTTACCCTTTCGGTCATATTTAACAACATTATATATATATAATGAATACAGTATATAAAAACATGAAGGCAAATGGGGGGGGAGACCTTCAACAAGCCAGTTCAATTTCAAGTATGTTTATTGAGATAAGACAGAAATATATCTCAAAGGGAAAGAGTAGCTTAGGCTATTTCTACCCCAACAACAAGACGCTGGCTTCCTGTCCTCGTCGAGTCCATTAATGTTAGTGGCTGTGTGGGGTAATGAATTAATCTTCATCAATTGTGTGGGAGACATCTCGTCACACGCAGGGTGCAGTCGCACCTCCACAGATCTCCAGTATCATTTCTTGATACTGGTAATGGCTCATAAGGACCACCACTTACGGGCTATTCATGCCTGTGCCACCTCTTGGGTGGCTTAATGATTGATTGATGAAGATTAAGCCACCCAAGAGGTGGCACGGGCATGAATAGCCCGTAAGTGGTGGCCCTTTTGAGCTATTACCAGTATCAAGAGCTGATACTGGAGATCTGTAGAGGTGCGACTGCACCCTGCGTGACGGGAGATGTCTCCCGGACCAAATGGTGACCAAAATGGTGGTGTGGCTTAATCTTTATCATCTGGTAATGAATGAGAAGCCACCAGAGTGAGCGCCATCTGAGGGTGGCGGGCCACACTGGGGCAGGTGCCGGCGACACCCACCACCCGCGGGCCGGAGCTTCCCTCCCCGGCACACAACAGCTGCTCCTGCTGCTGGATCATCTTCCACTTCTCTCGTGTCCTCCTCGCCTCTCCGCCCATTGTCATGGCCATCGACGACATTGCCGTCCATAACGACGACCCTGAGGAGGAAGAGGTGCTTGTTAATCGTGCTAGGGTTGAATTGAGGCGTTTAAAAAGGGAGTTTGCGGGGATAACTTGGTTATTTGTAGGTGGGTTCGGCTCCTGGCAATGGCTACCGGTGGCAGCAGCAGCAGCAGGAAGTCTTCTCGGCGTGATACTGCTTTATTTATCATGTTTGACTAATTTTAAACTTCAGAATGTTAATAGACTCTAACAGTGTTAAGATAGGGTTTTACGTTGTGAAATAAGGTAGGGCTGATATCGCCGAGCAAAATTATAATTTCAACTTGTCATATGAAGGGGAAATAACCTAAGAAAACCTGTGAAGATATTTAGCCACATCTAGCATATTTAACATGCAAAAGCCTCTAAATATAATTTTCAAAGTAAAACTGGGCCTATATTTTACTGACCGAAACCTCTTCAATTGGAAACCGGACATTCAAAAAGCACCATAAGAATTTGGCTTAAAATATGCTCGATACCATATTTCCCAATTATTTCTTGTAATGTTACCTCCATCTGTGAACTCTGTCCCATCATCTATATATCTATATTAGGATCATTTTCTATATTAATGTGCAGATTTTCCAGGATATCACTTTTAAAGTTTAATTTTTGTTTTGGCTAACAATGTAGGTCCTGTGCTGTAGTGTTTTAATTTTAGCAGGTACTTGCCTAGTTGTGCTTGTGGGGATTGAGCTTTGTCTTTGGTCCTGTCTATGGTGCCCAACACCCAAGTTACTAAGGGGGTAGAAATAGCCTAAGCTACTCTATCCATTTGAGGTGTATTTCTTTCTTATCTCAATAAACATACTTGAGCTTGAACCCAAGTTACTTAAGCTTATCCTGAAACTGTAGGTGATGTAGTTTGTTGCTTTGGTATCAAATACCACATAAAGATAAGACTTTATATGATTGCCCCCCTCCCCCAAATGAAACTTGGCATCATATAGCTATGTTAAAATTTATTTAATTTTTTTCCAGGAAGAGGAGGAGCAGGATCTTGTGGTAAGTTACAGCTGAGCTTAGTTTTGTTCAATAAACATTATAGTACAGTATTAGTATTGTAAACTTTAGCAAAAATACTTAGATTGGTTGAATTAGTGTGAACATATAATTTTATTTTTTTCACTGTCTGGTTCTTGAGCTAGTATATCATGGTAGTTGCCTTACTGCAGTGCCAGGGAATGATTGCTGTAGTGGTTCATTAAAGTTTCATCATTAAAACAAAAATTCAATTTAGGTTGCAACAGGTAAGCATGCTTCATAACCTAATAAAGCTTAGTCTCTAAAAAGTTTGTGAACAGGCTACAGTGATCAAATGTGCCCACATCATAGAAAATGTAAAATTTATTTAAAACAATAATTGGGAACTAGTTTGTACAGTATTTATAAATACCCTGTGGTGTGGGCAGGAAGGGGTTTGTGAAGTAAAGGGGGAGAAAATAGGATTTTTTTATTTGATTTATATATACAGGTTCTTGCATTCTTGTACAGCCACTAGACTAGCAAGCATAGTGTTTCGGGCAAGTCCTCAATCCTAATATTCCCCAGAATACAACCCCAGATTCTTGCATGGTGGTACTGTAGTTGAATTCTTGTATGTAGGTTCGGTCAGATTAAATCCTATGTCTAAGGGTATAGGTCTTGCATGATAAATTGAGCAGGGCCAAGTAACAATGACATTCTCTAGCAGGGTACTGGCCATCTTGCTGTGAGTAGTGAACATGAATAGGGGATTATGAAAAACTGATATTTAATATACCTCACATATTGGATAGGTAGCTTAAAGTTATAATTTAATCTAGAATGTGTTTTTCTTGTACTGTTATTAATGTTCTGCCTCCAGGATCCAATGGATGGTCTAAAAGAAGCGTGTGGGAATTCTGGTCATTGTGTAGAATTGAATGAGAGGTTGAACACCTGCAATGACAGAGTTAATTCCCGTTCAAAGACAGAAGAGACTTGTTCTGAGGAGCTCTTCGATTACTTGCATTGTGTTGATCACTGTGTAAGTATAATTATCAATGTACCAAAAGGTAGAGAACACTCACAATCAACCCCACACACACACTTTGAGGGGGGGGTTATCACCCTAAATTGCTTTTGCACCATATGTAGCTAAAGTCTAAATACAGTATGAGAAGTTAAATATTGAAACGAAGAAAATATTGAAAGAAAACGTAGGTTTTGATATTCTTTTATAGGGTACTTAGTGGCCTACATTTTGTAAACAAATGCTTTTTTTTTTTCTACACGTGTTCGTGTTTGATTTATAACTTGTTTGGGGAAACAATCTATCCTTTCCAATGTTTGCTTGGAAAAGTAGATAATTATGAAAATTAGTACTGCATATTGAACACAAATTTAGTATGGTTTAATCCTTGCATGACTGTACTGTAGTTTGAGACATGTTAGGCATTCATTAACCCATATTTCAACAAATCCTAGAAAATGGTATGTTACAGTACTGTAGTAAGAAATAACTTTTCACGTGGCCCATTCATGATTGGATTATTAATTCATTTTTTCCTTTTCAGTTGACCAAAACATTATTCCAGAAGCTGAAGTGAACGAAGACCATGAAAATGTAACGTTAGGTAAAAGTAAGATTGAAAAGTGATGCTGCAATATGAAGTGGCTCGAGGATTTTTCTTGTCATTGTACTTCAATTGGACCAGCTAATTTAGTTTGCAGGAAAGTTGTAAATGTTTGTAAATATGGCTGTTAAAGCCAAAAGTATCATCTCTATGCTAAAAATAAAACATTTCTTACAAGTTACATTTTAATTCCCACTTCAGCTGTAAAAGTGTTAATTTCCTTCAAAAATGTTATTTAATTTTTAATAAATTTGGCAAGTCTGTTCAATGTAAATTATGATGACATGGGCATGGCTCAATTCTAGATTAAATGGTACTTTGGGTTGGATTACAACCTCGAAAGTTTAGCCTTGCCATGGTGGCTTTGTAAGGAAGGATGGGGGGTTCGCATAGTATGATGCCCTTGGGGCCGGGGGTTGCTGTGACCTGTCTTTGGCCTTTAGAAGAAGAATATTTAAATAAAACTTGTGCCATATAGATCTGAATTGGTATTTATGAAACGGTCCTTAAACAAGAACTATTTTCTTCATAGTTATTCAATTATAGTAAGAATTTTTTGTACAGTAATGTTTTGGTGAACTAAATATGCAAATTTTTGAAGGGATTAATTAAAGTGTCTGGTAGTATATACAGGTTTAATATAGAATACAAACAGTACACATTCAAGAATGATTACAACCACCAACACTTCTGCTTTTGGTATGATGAGAACTACAACAAAAATAACACTTCAGTGTAAACCTAATAGTTCTTTACGTTTTTCCTTCCCTCTTAACACTGCAAATTTGAATAAGTTGCAAAACAAATTAACCGATGTTGAAGTGTCGTCATTACCAGGAACTGGATATGTTATCATGTTTGGGTTACAGTTAGTGTCCACAATTCCAATTGTTGGGATAAGCATTTTGGCTGCATCTCTTATTATAAGATGTTGGTCAATAACATTGTCCATTGTGTGAAGTAATATTATGAGATCAGGGAGTCTAGTCACAGACCCAAACTGCATAACGGAGTTTGTGAGAACACCAATGCGATAGTGGCGAGTGTGGGCATATTCACCACAGTCTTTAGCCGTGTTCTCGATTAACAACTGAAAAAAAAATATTTTTATTAATAATTTTGCAGAATGATTATAAAACAGTTGTCAGGAAACTGCCTTGTTTACAAAAGATTGGTTATGATTTAAATAGGCTATGCAATGAAAGTTATATTTATGTACCTTTTTAAAAATATGTACCAGTATGTATTAGTAATACATCGTAAGTGTGAAGTGACTGCTTGTTGAGCAGTACTGACAAGTATGAAACGAGCAGGGACGGAAACATCTAGGTTAGCCTGATCATGCCAAACAAGGATTAAAGACATGAACATTGTGAATCTGATTTACAGAAAACTGGAAGTGTCTTGAGCAAATGCAATGTATGCAAATTGAATTACAGTACTGTAAGAGGAAGTACTGTACTTAACCAATTAAATGATTAATCGATTTCTCTGGCTAACAAAGAATAGATAAGGAGACCCTTGGAAAGGAACCATGCATTGCAGGGGACTAATGAATGGGAATTTTAGAGAAAATGACAACATAGTATGATAACTAATACATATACATGGCAAAGGCTGAAGTAGTACAGTATATTTTTTGAACATTTTGCAAACACAGCCATGAGGGTTAAGTATTTGTGGAGGGAGGGGATAGCAATTTTGTTTTTTCCTCCCACCTTCCTCATTGATGATTAATAATAAGGACTTGGTCATAAACCTTTCCAATTCCCTCTCAACATAGTAAACATAACATGAATACAGTAGTTGCCATTAGGTTTCACTGCTAAATAACAAATACAGTAATATGATCCCACTAAGTGTTGTAAATAGGCCCAAATGCAGAGAAACATTTTTTAATATTGTCAGTCACTTAAGTCAAAGGGAGTCTGTTTTAAAATCTGATAAGTGCTGTTTATTTTAATAATGCACCAGCATTAAATTAAAAAAAAATTATTCAGGACTTTGCAAACAAATGTTTTGTAACCCATAGTAAGTTTGTTTTATTACCCCAAAAATTCAAAAATACTTTTTTTTTTTACTACAATCTTACAAAACAGTACCAGAGAAAACCCTTTTCTCACCTGATGCTGAGGAATACGACCCACAAACAGGATGATTCCCCCACGAAAGGCCATGTGTGCTGTGAAGTTAAGTGCTTCTCGCAAAAGAATGGCAGTCTGATCCAAGTCGATGATTAAATGACCAAGTCTTGATCCAAATATAAATGGTGACATATGATCATCCAAAGACCCTTCCATGTGTCCAAGGTGAACACGAGCATTGAACAAGTCTTCTACGGTAAATAGTTCAGCAACTTTAAAAAAATCTGGATACCTGAGGACTTTCTTCATTTGTTCACCATATACATCATCTGTGGAATAAAATAGTAATTTATCCCTTAATTATCATTACCCTATTGACCACTTTCATGGGATGGGGAAGGCATCAACCCAAAAGAAGAGCAGTGAAGATTAGATATAAAAAATGAATACATATTTATAAACAGTAAACCAAAATTAATAAAGTGTATATACAACACTGAAAAACAACTACTGCACATGTTTTAGGCAGTTCTGAAGTGCACACACACTCAGGGTAATGGCATGGCTAGGGCAGAGGTATGAGGGGTAATGGCATGGCTAGTGCAGAGGTATGAGGGGTAATGGCATGGCTAGGACAGAAGTATGAGGGTAATGACAGCGAGAACGAAGTATGAGGGTGATGACAAAGTATGAGGGTAATGACAAAACTAATACAGAATTATGAGGGTAATGACAATCCTAACCTGGAGCAGTGTTGATTATTACAATTAAAGATGGAAAATACTGACGGCAAACCATGAGAGCTAGGGAATACTGGCATAGTACTCTCATAAATTTTGAAATACAAAATAAATTACCAACCAGAGGATGATTCTGGGAGTTTCTCTAAAGGTTCTGAAGAGCACAGCACAGGTCTGGAAGATGAGGTGATGCCACGCTGCCAAATTCCACGGGCCAATCCCACTGTAAAAATAAAATTATACTTTCTATGTTGCTAATGAGTGTGGAGCAGCATGAATATTTACTAATAATTTCTTGAAACATTATGGATCCTCTCAGTGCACTAAAATATATTTTTTTGCAATGTCTATTGCAAAATTTATGGAATGACTTGAAATAGAGATTTTTCTATAAAACACCATAAAAACAGACATTGTATATGTAATGCCCATGGAGACATCAACAGAAAACACTGCAGCTTTCCGAGTTCGTGGGACACCTTAGCACCAGTCTCCAGACAGCTCATTTATAAGTGAATTTTACCATTGCAGAATAACCACACACATTATGATCTATATTATAGCTCCCTTATTTTTTATTTTATTTGGCAACATTCTTAGAATACTGTACCTGGATCTCAAATTTTTTCCCCATGGATGGCCGGAGATTAGCATTCAGGAATGCCAAGTATCCCAATGTTCTGTGGCTCATTTCTCAGGAATCACTGTGCATTACAGTCTGATATTGCAGGCCATGATAGCAGGGTGTGTCAGTACTTTTCAGTGGTTTTCATATTTTTTAGAGACTTGCTTTTACTTCTCCCCATGTGTTGGGATTAGAAATCAGACATACTCGGCGACTCATTCCTCGGAAACCTCCGACTGCTAATGTCCAATATTAATATGCAATATAGTATGGTGTGTATGGCACATCTGACGAGTGTCAAACATTTTCAATTGATTTGAAGATACAGTACTTGGGTTGGCGTTCACAGATTGCAAACGTTACCAATTTCAGTAATATTGTAATTCGTAGAGACCCTTCATTACCCATAATGCACCTTTCTAGGTGTCACTGTACAGTTAAAGGTATGTACAGCCACTTGTAAATAAAAATTAATCAAATAATACATAACCCTTTAAATCTGAGGATCAACAAAATAATTAAAAAAAATTTAAGAACCATGAACTAATTTATGGAAAATTTATGATAACATTTATTCAAAGTGGATTCTATACGACACCTTATGTTTCAAAATATTTTTAGCGTATATATGGCATTTTTGTGGTCTTGTTCTAAGCACTGGTGTATGTGTTACTGATATTTTCAGAACCCACATATAGAGACTTTAATCAACCATTAAAGTTGCAATTTTAACATTGATCAAAGCTTGAATTATACAACTATACTTAGTCATGAATAATGCTTCCTATAAATTTCTACTTTAAATAAATTCATTAAATTGGCAACATAAACCTAATACTGTCCATAAGTCGTACTTTATTATCTTTGCAAAACAAAAAATACTGAAATGACAATTTGGACAATTGTCTTCAAAATGTGCAATGGGCAAGTTTTTGTTCCTTCAGAATGGAGACATTTATGATAATTGTCTTTAAACACTTTCCTCTTTGAACATTCCTTAAGAATATTGTGTTTCTCCATCTGGATAATAGTTTCTTGTCGTGAATTATTTGGATGGTTTGATTCAGAGATATTATTTAAGACAATTGAAAAGTTCCACTTCTGCTGAGTATTATTTTCTTTTTCAAATACCTGTATATCAGTTTTTATCAAAGACAAGTGTAAAGTATTGTTTTCATTTGGATTAAAACACTCCTCCAATTCAAATTCAATATTTAAAAAGCAATTTATACACGACAGCAAAGATAGATTGATATTGTACCATCCCGAAGTCTTTATCAATGCTAATGTAAGTGGATCGACGACTACCTTTCCTGATTCCACATTACCAGGAACCATTACAGAAACAATGTTGGTAAACATTTCACTAGACCAGTGAACGCCAGTCCGAGTTTTTGCCAAGACAATACCACCATACTCCTCAAAAATTTCACTGAAATTTTTGTAAGCAAGAGGTCTCATGTCAGTTGTGTTTAGCTCCAGGAAACAATTGGTGGGGCCCACATTGTTACTTGTATTCACATTCGTGCAGTCATATTCCTCACTTGGGTAAGACCCCATGTGTAATGCAGCAAGTTCAATATGGCTAGATTGAAGAACAACTTCATTTCTTTTAACCTTGAGAACGTCTCTCCGTTTCCAGCACATAATACTATCATCTTCCTCACTACCAAACAACTCAGAACCATCCCTTTCACCAATATCACAGTTGGGGAACACTCCCTCGTCCTCGTCCTCAGGGTAGCAGCCAATAAATTCTTGGATGCTTCTATAATTAAATCCCAGAAGGTGAATAGCTTCATGAATAATTATTCTTCGTAATAAAATTTTGTCTAACTTGATTTTGGCCTCGCACAAGTTAACAACTCCAGCAAGTGGTCTTCCGATGCGTACCCCACCAATCATCGCAGTGTCCGTGCGACACACCAGTGAGTGTGCCTCAGAATACAAGCACAAATTGCTGGCTCGAGAAGTTACATAGACAACAAAGTTTGTGCCGTCATCAAAGCCTTTCCCTTGCGGCAGAAGATGTTCCTGAGGTATCACAACATCCCCACACAAGTCTCCTACATAATATTGTGAGATTCGAGCACATTTCCCAAAATTTAAACCATCATTGTATGAACCTTGACAGAAATTTGACTGCCTAGGGATGTGGAACACTGGCTTGGGATCTGTGTTCTTGAGGGTAAATAACCTTGCAATGGTTGAAAACGCCGAGTTGATAATGCCTCGCGTCTCAGGAGACAAGCGAGTGTCCACATAGTGAACGTGAACCTTGAGTGCCACCCCACATGCCACCCAAGGCACTGTCAGCCACACTAACCCCCATAACACTGCCCTCGCCCCAGGATTTACTCTCATATCTATATGCAGTAAACCACGAGATGACACTAATCCTCCTATACGGCAATACAGCTATCCACGACAGAAATATGGCTTGCAGGAAGGCGCAATAGAGAATGAATAGAGGCATTGTTCAACCCAACCAATCACTGCCTCAGCACAACTCCTGTTGCCGCAATGGTCACGAATTATTATTTTCCAGGCTTATGTTCACGCCGGGGGTTTGAGCACCCTAATAAATACTAAGATATCTACTTCATGTGTTACCTGGTATATCTTAAAGTATTCTTATTTATCTAGCTATGATGAATTTTACCAGGAATTCTGAAAAGTCGTCTGCCCAGCGCGGCCATGTTTGTGTACCACACGGGAGCAGCGTTGCCAGATCCTAATTGCTGAAAGTAGCGAGCTGAAGGTCTAAAAGTAGCGATTTTGTAACAAGAGTAGCCCAATTTTTTATTGGGCTACAAACATTAATAATTTTGTAACTAGCGTCAAACATTGTTATTTGCTTAGCTAAACGAACTAGAGGGTTCAGTTCCTGAACCGATTATGTGCCTCTGTAATCCTTTACATCACCGCCCACGGGATGGGTATGGGGTGCATAATAAAGAAATTGAATTGACGGGTGTAATATATATTTGATATAATTTAATATATATTTGATATAAGTAATATATTTTGATATATAGATTACGCTACACGATGTTAATTGTTTTATTAATATTATTTCTGCACACACACAAATGTGTGTTCAGAAATAATTTTTAATTATATATATAATTAAAATCAAATAGATTAAGTTACCAATATTTACTGTATGAAGTATAATGGGCGAGGAGTCCTTCCACGTACGTCTTCATAGTTTTAGATTAAGTTGATGATATTCGATCAAAAACACATCAATCAAAACACTTCGATCAGGCGCTGGCGTGTGTTCGCTTCAGTTCTCGTCTGCCAAAACAATAAAATGATCAATAGAAATTGAGAAAAAGTGAAAATTGAGAATAATAAGATGGCACGTGAGTATTATATTAATACAAAAGTATTTTTCAGATATTCAATTTCTTTTTTTTATTATGCACCCCATACCAATCCCGTGGTGTAAAGGATTACAGAGGCACATAATCGGTTCAGGAACTGAACTCTCTAGTTCGTTTAGCTAAGCAAATAACAATCTTTTGACGCTAGTTACACAATTATTAATATTATATATACATGTACACATTCTCATACGTACATGCACATATATATACGTATACATATATACAGTACATACATATTTACATGCTGCCCGAAACGCATTGCGTAATAGTGGCTTTAGGCATTGTATGTACTAGCTCTATCTATATATTGATCCATTAATGTAACATCACTTGTATGTATGTACCTTACCTGAATAAACATATTTATTTAAATTTATTATATTTTATTTATTTAATCACACACACACAAGTACACACATCAATAATCTTTTGTGTCACAAGTGATTCAACAAGAGGCTCACAACAGTCACTATACATGGCACTTTACATCTATGGTGAGTCACACAGTTACTAGTCTTGCTGCACACCCACCCAACTGGGCGGCAGCTTTACAGTCATGTGCAAGCATTACCTACAGTAAGCAAATTTTGGATACTTCGCTAAGATTTCGGGCAGCTCATCATTATGAATGAGTACTTACACATTTCTTGGACACTATTGATGGTGTTATCTCTAAATTCCGCGATTTTTCACATTCCATTATATAATGACGCAAAGTATGCGAATAGTTCTGCTGACATTACATTTAGTCAATTCTTCATCAGCAGATGTTACAAATTCCCAGAGGTGCTTGTATAAACATCTGACAAAAAACATCTGACACACAACCATGCACGAACCGAACAAAAAACATCTGAAGCACAACCATGCACGAACCGAACAAAACCTCTGAAGCACAACCATCCACAACCCAAAGCCTAAATTACACCCCCGGAGCCCGACCAGTTATTTAACCGGAGCCTGACCAGTTGTGTAACCGCAAGCCTAGCATGAACGAACCGAACAAAAAACATCTGAAGCACAACCATGCACGAACCGAACAAAAAACATCTGAAGCACAACCATGCACGAACCGAACAAAAAACATCTGAAGCACAACCATGCATCAACCGAACAAAAAACATCTGAAGGACAACCATGCACGAACCGAACAAAAAACATTGAAGCACAACCATGCACGAACCGAACAAAAAACATCTGAAGCACAACCATGCACGAACCGAACAAAAAACATCTGAAGCACGACCATGCACGAACCGAAGACCGACCATGCACAACCCAAAGCCCAAATTACACCCCCGGAGCCCGACCAGTTATTTAACCGGAGCCCGACCAGTTATTTAACCGGAGCCCGACCAGCTATTTAACCGGAGCCCGACCAGTTGTGTAACCAAAGCTCCACCAGTTGTGTAATCGGAGCCCGATCAGTTGTGTAACCGGACCCCGACCAGTTGTGTAACCGCAAACAGCATGAACGAACCGAACAAAAAACATCTGAAGCACAACCATGCACGAACCGAACAAAAAACATCTGAAGCACAACCATGCATGAACCGAAGACCGACCATGCACAACCCAAAGCCCAAATCGCACCGCCAGAACCCGACCAGTTATGTACCCGGAGCCTGACCAGTTGTTTAACCACAAGCCTAGCATGAGCGAACCAAACAAAAAACATCTGAAGCACAACCATGCACAACCTAAAGCCAAAATTACACCCCCGGAGCCCGACCAGTTATTTAACCGGAGCCCGACCAGTTATTTAACCGGAGCCCGACCAGCTATTTAACCGGAGCCCGACCAGTTGTGTAACCAAAGCTCCACCAGTTGTGTAATCGGAGCCCAATCAGTTGTGTAACCGGACCCCGACCAGTTGTGTAACTGCAAACCTAGCATGAACGAACCGAACAAAAAACATCTGAAGCACAACCATGCACGAACCGAACAAAAAACATCTGACACACAACCATGCACGAACCGAACAAAAAACATCTGAAGCACAACCATGCACGAACCGAACAAAAAACATCTGAAGCACAACCATGAACGAACCGAACAAAAAACATCTGAAGCACAACCATGCACGAACTGAACAAAAAACATCTGAAGCACAACCATGCACGAACTAAAGACCGACCATGCACAACCCAAAGCCAAATTACACCCCCGGAGCCCGACCAGTTATTTAACCGGAGCCCGACCAGTTATTTAACCGGAGCCCGACCAGCTATTTAACCGGAGCCCGACCAGTTGTGTAACCAAAGCTCCACCAGTTGTGTAATCGGAGCCCGATCAGTTGTGTAACCGGACCCCGACCAGTTGTGTAACCGCAAACCTAGCATGAACGGACCGAACAAAAAACATCTGAAGCACAACCATGCACGAACTGAATAAAAAACATCTGACGCACAACCATGCACGAACCGAACAAGAGACATCTGAAGCACAACTATGCACGAACCGAACAAAAAACATGTGAAGCACAACCATGCACGAACCGAACAAAAAACATCTGAAGCACAACCATGCACGAACCGAACAAAAAACATCTGAAGCACAACCATGCACGAACCGAAGACCGACCATGCACAACCCAAAGCCCAAATTACACCCCTGGAGCCCGACCAGTTATTTAACCAGAGCCCGACCAGTTGTTTAACCGCAAGCCTAGCATGAAGGAACTGAACAAACAACCTCTGAAGCACAACCATGCACAACCCAAAGCCCAAATTACACCCCGGAGCCCGACCAGTTATTTAACCGGAGCCCGACCAGTTATTTAACCGGAGCCCGACCAGCTATTTAACCGGAGCCCGACCAGTTGTGTAACAAAAGCTCCACCAGTTGTGTAATCGGAGCCCGACCAGTTGTGTAACCGGACCCCGACCAGTTGTGTAACCGCAAGCCTAGCCTGAACGAACTGAACAAAAAACATCTGAAGCACAACCATGCACAAACCGAACAAAAAACATCTGAAGCACAACCATGCACGAACCGAACAAAAAACATCTGAAGCACAACCATGCATGAACCGAACAAAAAACATCTGAAGCACAACCATGCACGAACCGAAGCTCGAACATGCTCAACCCAAAGCCCAATTAGTGACACCCCAGAGACCGACAAGTTATGTAACCGGAGCCCGACCAGTTGTGTAACCGCAAGCCTAGCATGAAGGAACTGAACAAACAACCTCTGAAGCACAACCATCCACAACCCAAAGCCCAAATTACACCCCCGGAGCCCGACCAGTTATTTAACCGGAGCCCGACCAGCTATTTAACCGGAGCCCGACCAGCTATTTAACCGGAGCCCGACCAGTTGTGTAACCAAAGCTCCACCAGTTGTGTAATCGGAGCCCGATCAGTTGCGTAACCGGACCCCGACCAGTTGTGTAACCGCAAACCTAGCATGAACGAACCGAACAAAAAACATCTGAAGCACAACCATGCACAAACCAAACAAAAAACATCTGACGCACAACCATACACGAACCGAACAAAAAACATCTGACGCACAACCATGCACGAACCGAACAAAAAACATCTGAAGCACAACCATGAACGAACCGAACAAAAAACATCTGAAGCACAACCATGCACGAACCGAAGACCGACCATGCACAACCCAAAGCCCAAATTACACCCCCAGAACCCGACCAGTTATTTAACCAGAGCCCGACCAGTTGTTTAACCGCAAGCCTAGCATGAACGAACCGAACAAAAAACATCTGAAGCACAACCATGCACGAACCGAAGCTCGAACATGCTCAACCCAAAGCCAAATTAGTGACACCCCCAGAGACCGGCCAGTTATGTAACCGGAGCCCGACCAGTTGTGTAACCGCAAGCCTAGCATGAAGGAACTGAACAAAACCTCTGAAGCACAACCATGCACAACCCAAAGCCCAAATTACACCCCCGGAGCCCGACCAGTTATTTAACCGGAGCCCGACCATCTATTTAACCGGAGCCCGACCAGCTATTTAACCGGAGCCCGACCAGTTGTGTAACCAAAGCTCCACCAGTTGTGTAATCGGAGCCCGATCAGTTGCGTAACCGGACCCCGACCAGTTGTGTAACCGCAAACCTAGCATGAACGAACCGAACAAAATACATCTATAATAATAATAATAATTTTTATTTAGGCAAAGGTACATACATAAAGAGATTTTACAAAGTTTGTTGGCTTTATAGATAGAGCTAGTACATACAATGCCTAAAGCCACTATTACGCAAAGCGTTTCGGGCAGGAAAAAACACTACTGACTAAAGCTTAAAACTAATGGGTAAAAAGAAAAAAATGCGTTGAGTACAAATAATAATAGAGGTAAAAGAGGGGGGGAACATTGTTGAAAAAACAGCACAAATACAATTATAAATTATTACAGAAAATTACATTAAAACAGCGTTGATTTGTAAAACAAATCTGAAGCACAACCATGCACAAACCAAACAAAAAACATCTGACGCACAACCATACACGAACCGAACAAAAAACATCTGACGCACAACCATGCACAAACCGAACAAAAAACATCTGAAGCACAACCATGAACGAACCGAACAAAAAACATCTGAAGCACAACCATGCACGAACCGAACAAAAAACATCTGAAGCACAACCATGCACGAACCGAACAAAAAACATCTGAAGCACAACCATGCACGAACCGAAGACCGACCATGCACAACCCAAAGCCCAAATTACACCCCCAGAACCTGACCAGTTATTTAACCAGAGCCCGACCAGTTGTTTAACCGCAAGCCTAGCATGAACGAACCGAACAAAAAACATCTGAAGCACAACCATGCACGAACCGAAGCTCGAACATGCTCAACCCAAAGCCAAATTAGTGACACCCCCAGAGACCGGCCAGTTATGTAACCGGAGCCCGACCAGTTGTGTAACCGCAAGCCTAGCATGAAGGAACTGAACAAACAACCTCTGAAGCACAACCATGCACAACCCAAAGC